TTTTTTTTTTTTTTTTTTTTTTTTTTTTTTTTTTTTTTTTTTTTCAGACTATTTTATGATTAAGACAATGCCTGGAAAAAACACTACCGATATCTGTACGCTTGTTTTTTTTTTGGCGTTTCGCGTAAGGCGTTAGGGATAAGAACAAAGAATAACAAAAAAAAAAAAACAACGCACGGTATATTCTAATATGTTCACGAATCGTTTCGCGGGAAATTTGTTCACAACGTATATCCTAGCCATTTGAAACATTGTATCATTTAAATTTTTTTTTTTTTTACATATACTAGAAAACTTTTATTTGCTTTTTAAATACGCATTGGAGCGTTGAATAAGAAAAAAAATATTATCAGTATACTATACCTTTGACGGCGCCCAGAGCCAATACATTGATGAAAAAATTCTTTTACCCTTCACGACTCAAGAATTACACATGAAGGCCTTTTTGTGAACTCTAGTAAGAGCATGTGTAAAAGTATTTCTAGCTGTTGTAGTGGTCGTTCAGAATTAAAAAAAAAAAAAAAAAGAAAATATGAAAATACCTTGCGGCAATTGATTTTGAGTGAGGTCAAGTGGCCGATGATGAATAATATACACCTACTCCTGGGTATATATGCAAATTGGATTGTTTGAATCGAGTTAAACATGTGTACTCGAAAAAAACAAGTTTTTACAAGCTTGGATTTTGTTGCTTGATGATTCATTTTATTTGTTTATTTATTTTTTTTTTTTTTTTTGTAAAACCACTCGTATACGTATCTATACATCACATTTGCTGTGCAATGCACGTATACAGGTATGTACAAATCGTAAAGGAAAATTCCAGGCGAAAGGTGTATAATCACAAGAGAGATAATGCGCTGTGCGCGAGTAATTGGTCAGAAATGTTTTTCTCTAGTCACTTTAATTTCTACAGCAACACAGTTAACGAAACACGTTTTATACGTTAGCTTGAAGCTAGCAACTACTTTTATACATGCATAAAGTTTGAGGGGAAAAAAAAAGTAGCTGTAAATTAATGATTTATTGCATGCATGTATACAAAATATATACGCATACGTGGTATGGATGGAGAGAGGGAGCACACAACATGATGATTGTCTAAGTATATGCTGTCTCGACTTTGTGAAATCCGAATCGTATATAGCTGTATACTTGGAGCACGTCGCAAATGAAAAATATCAGAGCGGACGCATGAAGCAAAACCTTCTCGCCGTATAAACATACCACAGTTGTTTTGATCTAGAAAAATCATTGAATTTTTACTGGATCGGTGTGGATATCGATTTGCGCTTACACCCACATTATGTAATTATCACATTCGTACATTTATTGCGTTAATTATGTCATTAATACCTGATGATGGATCAACAACACATATTTGTAAGATATTTGGATGAAAAAAATAAATAAATAAATAAACTGAACAAAACAAAAGATAATTAAGGTAACAACTTACGTGCATTGGCAGCTGGTGTTGCGCGAGAGTGTGACTTTTACCCTTTATTATGTGTCTTTGTATACCTTTGGGTGGCCAGACGACCTTGACAAAGTAATTTTATACATATTATACTTGAGCCGTAGGTGTATGTTTTCTCTCGCTGTACGGCATTAATTTACCTTAAAATGTTTTACTTTTGCAAAATTGGGCAATGCATGCTCGAGTGCACCTATATCTACAATTATTTATTAGTCATCCACAATGCGATGATATTTGGGTCCATATTTCTAAAACAACGTACGATTAATAATAATAATAATAATAACAATAGTGAAATTGTTTTTGATTCTAAATGTCCGTCATGTATGTGCCTGCTAACAATAAATTATGCGTTCGTGATTTAAATGTATTATTCGTTAAGAATGTCTATTTGTGGCCAATATTTAAGAATGTCTATTTGTGGCCAATATTTTTTCAGACATACCTACTTAATTTACCAGCTGATCGCGCGAGAGCATTGACGTACTTACTTGGAGAAACAAAAAAAAAATAATGATAATAATCCTCTCCTCTTCTTCCCCTCGATTGACTCGATTCCTCACACCGTTAATAACACAGACACGATACACGCATATACACCGTAAATATGTGTGAATCAATCAACTCTTCTGACAAAGTGGGGGAGTTTGTAACGTCACGCGCTAGACGGCCGTCGAGAGCTCGAGAGAGCAAGGGGGGAAGGAGAAAGAAAGAAAGAGGGGAAGAACCTGGCGTGCGCGGGCTTAAAGGTGCGCTGGCGCGGCGACGGTTCAGTTCCTGCTTGGACTTCGGACACGTAGCACGGATCAGTCCACCACTCGAGAGAGGACGAGTTTTTATTTGATTGGTGCGCTCATTGTATGGGTGAGTAATACCTCTTTTTCATTTTTTGCTCTTATCCCTTTATCTTACTTATTTTCTGCACAACAAGAAAAACTGCAGAAACTAGGCGATTAGTACTATTAAGCTTCCAGCTTTTCTTATTTACGTAACTGTACTGCATACAAATATGGAATTCTTGACACGTCAGCGCGTTCGGTATACCGTGTACTGCGTTGGCGTGTAGGCCACCCACGCGCTCACGTATCGCATTTTTATTTCTGTCTGTCTCGTGTCTATGTACAGGTATATACCCCACGACGAGACAGAGATATGATCGGATGATGCCCTTGTTGGGCGTCTGTACATTTTTTTTAGGACAAAGGGTGCCTCTCTGTATACTTACTTGCTCCTTCAAAAACTTAATTACGTTACGTAAAAGTTAGCTCCTGATCATACATCATATAGCCCGTGCTTTTTTTAACATCTACATGTTCGTCGCGTCCGTAGATATATGTGTGGTTTCAATGTAACGGGACACTTTGGCGTTGTTATCTTATCCATAATATTATATGTATAGGTGTTACCTCGATGTGTGTAGTAGAAATGGCTTGGAGAATGGAGCTCGTGTTCGTGCAGCTTTTGTCTGCGCATAAACAAAGCCATGTTTTCGGAGCATGTCAGAAGAAACCAAACTGCTGGTTTTTGTTTTTGTACGTTTGTACTCCCGCGATCATTCCTCCCCCCCTCCGTGTTTTTTTTTTTTTTTTTTTTTATTTCTTACCTCTGTTATGCAAATATATTTTTGCAGTTCGATATACTTACTTATTTGTCGGTCGCAAAAACGAATCGTGATGGCTGACGTGCTCGTTCTAGTAAATTGAATCTATAGTCACGCGCGTTCTCGTGCTCAAGGTTACGAAACGAAAGATCACGTGCCTTATTTGTATTCTTTTTCCTTTGATAAATGCAACGGTTTCGTTGATTGAAATGTTGTGTTGAACCAGTTGCTGAAAAAACATGATAAATTGTAGGAACAATTGATTAACTTTTAAATTAAATTTTCAGAGCGAGAGAAAAGTAAAAAAGTGTGCGAGAGCCCTGTGGAGCCAATAAGCAGCTTCAGGGATGAGCATGGCTATGTGCCAACGGTTGGCCGTTGGGGCAGCGAGTGGCCGAGTTGACTCGAACAGTCAGATGTTTGGTGCCAGCCGCAGGGGCAGGCACGCGGTCCCTGGATCAGGGGTGCACCGCTACCCCTGCCGGTCTGGGGCCATTATGAGTCGCCAACCCTGATCGTAGACACGGTCGAAGAGTATGAGGAACTAGCAAGCAGCGTTGAACTCGAAACTCGTCGCTTGATCAACGAGCAACGCTACGACACGGTTGACAATGTCTTGAGGTAAGTCGCCACACTTGCATATTACATTTATCATCAAAATACTTTTTTACAAAGAGACTGGCTAACATTTGTATTGCTCTTACAGATTCTACTCGGATTTCAAGAAGAGTGGAGAAAATAACTTGGAGCACTTCTACCGTAAATACCAGCCCCTCATTGTCAGTGGGCGTCACACGTGTGTCGGCCTTGGCTTCGAACTGTTGAACCGTATATGCGGTCTGAGCAAAAAGTTTCCTGGCTTAGCGAGTGGCCTTTACCTGGTGTCTTGCGAAGAGACTATCGGTGACATTGCCAGCTATGTTGGCGGTCCGCCTGCGGCTGATTCCGGCGAGAAGGAGCACGTCCTCGTTTGCCTGAAAATCGAGATCAACAAGCGCCGAGGTGTAATGCTCCTGGATCCAGGCTACCACATCGCCCGCGTGATAACCGTAATGGCGGATAAGTTATACCCGCACACGGGTTGGTTCACGCAGAGTGATGAGCCAGAGGGCAAAAAGGAATACAATTACACGCTGTGCCAGACAGACCCGGACTACGTCGAGTGGCACGAAAGGAAAACTCGTCCCAGTGCCTTAGAGCAGACTCAGGTCGCTCTTATTTACGTGGCAAGGCCATATCTAACTGCCATCGACGTTACCCAGCGCCGAAATCTCGTTTACAACTACAGGAGCTTGCTAGCCAGGGACTTTAAGGGACACCTAGTTGCCGGCATCTACTTCCAAATTTCGCTCGATATGCCAGCCTTCAACATATTTTATCAGGCTAATCGCGGGAAAAAAAGAAAGAAGATTCCCTTTAGCAGATTCCTTGACCTCAATAACGTAAGCTACCTTCATCAAATTACTTAACAAACACACCAACGAAAAGGAAAATTGTTTCTATGTTGGCTTGTTTTTTTATTTTCAGATCGAATTGGACAACGAGGAAAAAGAAATCTTTACAGAATGTGCTCGACTGTTAGGTATGACGCAGGAGGAGCTGAAGGAATTGCTCTTCACACTAGCAACTGTTTTGTATGACCAGTCCTTTACGAAACAGTTACTTACCATCAACGCTAAAATCAACACCTTAGCAAAAGATAATTAACAAATGATTACGCCCCCGAGCGTTTGTTGTGAAAGGAACATTGTTGTACCTTGTCTTTTTTTTGCTAGCTTTCCTCTTACTTTTAGTTTTTATTACTTAATGCGACTTCTTGTATTTTTCGTTCTAATTCAGCTTTTGGCTTTGGTGCAAGGGAAAATGTACTAAATTACTTTTATAATTATGTTACTTACATAATATTATGTTAAATTTCAGTGTTATACATTTTTTTTTTTTCTTATTTTACGTCTTGAAATTTTAATGGAAATAATGACGATGGTTACTTATGACTGGCATAACGCATCTATTTAAATTTAGTTTAATGTCCTTGATTATTTTAACTTTGTAGGTTGCACCTATTCTTATTTTTTCACACGTGTATTTTCAATTTTACACGCTTTGTAAAATTTCATTTATTGGAATAAAGTTGGAAAGAGTACAAAAAATATGTGATCTAATACTTATTTTACTAATAATTAACATCAGAAATCCAGAATTACAGATTTTTATTACTCCTTTATAAATTACATGAGATTATATTTTCACATTCATTAGTTTACAGCATTTTCTAAGTACAATTGAAAAAACTGTTTAGTTGAAAAATTACATGATTCGAGAATACTCAATTTGAACACGATTTTTGCTTGATAGTTCACCAAAAAAGCTGGAAACTAAATGCTTGCTTAAATGATATAATAAAATGTTTTATTTCTTTACATGGTTAGTAATACAATAAAAAAATAATTCAATAAGTATTGCGAAAAAATCAATTTAAATTTCATGGAACATTTACATGACTCATTAACGTTAGTATCGGTAAAATACTTTTTAGGAAAATCTTGCAACAAGCTAACATCGCTTTCTATTTTAATTTTAAATATTTAGAATCTTCAAAAGATTTCGGACATATGATTCTTAAATCGTTATTGAAGCAGACTAAAAATTATTTAAATACTACTGCACTTTGTTTCCATAAACTGATATCATTTGACATAAATATATTTCTACTGATACTTACTCAAGAAATGAAATACTAGGCTTCATAAACTTTGAACATAAATACGTTGAGTAAAACGAGACTGTGACACGTTAAATCATGAGAATAGAAATAATCTTAAATTGATGTAATGTTGGATATAAATTAATAAACTATAGGTTCAAATTTTTTTAAATATTTTTCTAACACCCACAGTGATGATTTATCACCAGTTTCAAGCGCCATTTTTATTGTACTTCAAAAGTTTGAAAAAAAAAAAAAAAAAAACATTTCATACGGTCTTTACAAACGATTGGAACTTTATTTTTAATACAAAAGGAGTGAAATCATCAACTCCAGCCTCCAGCTAAATAATTTTTATATTTTCCTGGTCCAAGTTATACATTTCGGCAACTGTATTAAATATTTTAAAAAATTTATCTAGCCACCAGATACACTCTCAGAGGAATCATAAGTTGTACGGGTTTCCTTTTTCGTTATCACGCGCACTCTCTCCAAGATTCTCAAAAGGAAACTAGGAAAGCTCCAACTTGGACCAAGAGACTTGGCATAATCTTCGACAAAAGGCAACAACTGACAAGTTGCATAAAATAAAGAGATGAAAACGGAATAAGTAGGATGTATAACGTATAGTGCGTTGCCATCAAAGTCGCCTCTCGCAAAAAGTATGGAATCGTTCCCCCTTTATTTTTTCTTATTCATCACTAGTCGCTCCGTGGGAACGACGCTTGTGATTGGGGTTCTCAATTTCCTCGATATCGGGGCTGTGTTCTCGTTTTCGACCGGAACTGTTGCTGTGATTGTTGTTATTATTACTGCTGCTACTGCTCAGATCCTCGGGCAACTCTGACGACGGGGAAACCTTGGAAGTTGAACTAGACGTATTGGCGCTATTACTGGTACTGGTACTCTCAGCGGATCTTGAAAAAAAAAGTTGAAAAATTTTTCATGTTAAGCCCGCATTTGTGCACACGAACTTGGTGAATGATTTTAATGAAAATAGATTGTAGATTTGCACTTTGAGCTTATCTTCCATTTGATGAGAGTGTCAAGTAAAATTATTATGAGCACAATGAAATGATCTTGAGCATTGACAAAAAAGCATTGAAATCCTATTACTGACAGTTTCAAAAAAACTGTTTGTGATACACGACTACTTGCGTTATAAGTGTGTTAAGACATTTAAAACGTTCAAATCGAGACAGCACTTTGCCTTAAAAATTAGGATGGTTAGCGAGAAGTGTTAAATTCAAGCAAAGGCTCATAGCCAGTCAGTAATTTGATTTTAATTACTTTTTATTGACAAATTCAGAGTTGGTAAAATATATTTTGATTTTTCAAGTACTTATAAGTCATCTCATGAAATAACCTAATTTCGTTTTTCGTAAGCGAGTATTTTGTATACTCTAAACTTGTCAATTTTGGCATTGTTTCAGGCTGGCATGGTACATTTTGTAAAACAGGAAAATAGGTATACAGTAGACTTTAACAGCCTGGCCGGAAAACTTTCTTTTCCTGACGTTTCCAGACGAGACTGGTACAAGAAAAAGAAAAAAAAAAAAAAAAAAATCGGAAAAAGGAGCATTAAGATTCTACCGCAGGTTTAACTTTTTTTTAAAAACAAGAAATGGTTTAACGTAATGCTAGTACTTACGATGCGCAAGCGTCACCGCGTACTATGCTTTTTACATGAAATTATTTGTGGCTGTACCTGCAATTCATATAAAAACAAGATATTCCATACCAGTTTCTCAGCTTCTAGCAGAATTATAAATTATTGTGTTATAAGTGCGATTTCGTCAAAACGTGTAGAACGGGAAGTATCAATTGAAATGGTGCATGTACTTTTTCTTTTTTGTTTCTCATAACTCACAGCTTTGATTGTCATTTTTTGTTATTTGCTTGCTATGCGGGTTAGTAATTTTTTTTTTTTTTTTTTTTTTTTTTTTATTAGAAAACACGGTTTAATTTTCGTTATGCGTCGCAGTCTTTCTATCACTGATACTTAAAGAGAAAATATTATAAAACTGACACTATTTATTAAACTCTCGAGATACTCATCTCAGAATCATTCAGCAAGGGCTTTTTTTTTCTTCTCAATTACCTATTTTGAATCCAACATAAGAAAGAAAAAAAACTAAGTACAACAATCTTTAGGTTGAATATTAATTGTGAAAGAGCCGACCGAAAAAAATCTAAACCTATGGTATATTTGTATATAAAAAGCGGATTTATAATTTATTGACTTTAAAAATACCGGAAAAAGAAATAAGAGTGCCAAAAAGAGAGAAATATGCACTTTACTGGCATGTATAAGTAGTAAATAAGTTTCTAGGTCAATGCTATGCTTAAGGGGTGGGGCAGATATTAAGAGCCACCAATTCTGCACATCGTACAATACTTATGTTTATCAGATCTGTACTTCTGACGTGTTGTATAAGGATACGTCAATAGTGGCAGTAAATTTTTTGAGTGTAAGCAATTAAATTTGGCTCAAATGAAAAAATATTTTTCAAAAGTGTCAAATTCTTTGATATACGTATGTATCTACAAGGTGAATCAACTAAATGTGAAAATCTACTTTCTAAATGTATAGAATAGAGCACATTGACTGTAGTCAAGTTTGCATGATTTTTAATCATATTAAAGTATTTAACTTTCATAAATAGATATATATATGTGCCTCGGTTGACACAACTGCCAGCAAGAAAGAAAATTAGATTCACAATTATTTGCAACTTATGCATCGATTTTGCGAAAGTGAAGATGAGGCTGGTCATTGTCCCAAAATTTTTCCAGAAACTAAGTACAATCAGCATAATTATAGTAAGTGAAGCAACTTTTTGTCTTGTAACGCGATATTAGAATACTGATTTTCTTCTTTTATTATCGTTATCTATTAATGTTTTTGTGAAACCTACGCGAAAGAAACTCAAAACCGCATTTTGTAATATTTAAATCCTAAAGCTCACAAAAAATTAAAGCTGTATGGTTAGTTTTTAATGAAACAGTGTCCTGTATCGTTAATTCTAAAACAATCCACCTCAATTTCAAATTATTAGTATAGATATTGTGCGAAACAAAACTAACAATTTTTACGTAAAACTGAATAGCGTTAGAAAGATTTGCATAGTACACATTTAAATCCAAATTATACATATATATGAAATAATTACTTAAAACTACAATAAAACTATTAAAAATATGTGACTCTATTAAGATTGAAAATAAATTTGCAATTTATGCTACACAACTATCAAAATCTACTCGTGCAATTGCAGACATTTAGAAAAAAATTTTTTTAAATCATAATTACAAGCATAGAAAACTTACCGAGAGGAATCTTTGTGTTTACTTTTACTTTTTTTAGACGAAAGTGCATTCTTGATTGTGCGCCGAGGTGCTGCTAATATTCTTGAAGATAGATTTTTACTTTGCTGATCACTATGAGGTACACCAAATATAATGGGCAGAATATCAACATGAATGAAATAAAGAGAAATAAAAGTTAAAAAATAGTTGAGAAAAACAGTCATAAAAAACTAAGCTGTGCAATAATTAAGTTTCTCAGCATCCACTAGAAATAGTTTACATGCATACTTGCTGTTTGCTTGCAAATTAAAAAAATTAAAAAAGTTTCTATTTGAAGTGTTGTTTATTACAATATTTTTCTATACACAATTCATAGGCAGAAAATGTTTAAATGTCGATATTTGATGGTATAATATTGAGGTTTCAAGAAATTTTTATCCACGGCGTTTCCTTTTTAATTTCTTGAATCTGTCAAGCAAGATAATGATTTAAAAAAACTTCAAAATACGTCTACAGAAATAATATACTCTAAAAAGTATTATAAGCGGCATTGGTAATAATACTACAGGTGCATTTAATTTACAGTGTGTATTACTTGGATAATTCCATATTGTTACGAGAATTGTAGTTAACATGCCACTGATTACTCACCTTGGGGCTGTACTCGGCAAAGCCAGCTGCCTATTTGCCTGAGCTCTATCATACGAAGACCTGTAAGGAGAATTTCCAATGGCTCCCAATGACGATCTGGTTTTTGATTGCCATTCATGATTAAAAGTATCGACTTCCTCTAAAAAGGCAACAATTTAGAATCACTCCATGTTACAAATGGGAAAATGCATATATGAAACATATAATTTGCCTACCTTCGTCAAGGTTAATAAAATCTTGGTGCTCTTCTTGATCCCCAGTATACTCATTCTTTTCACGCTCAATTATATGTGCTCTTTCGCCAATGTGATGTCCAATTGCCAGTTTTCGTGTTCCAGTGCGTGAGTCGCTGACACTTTTTTTGGTTTCCTTAACACCTCCTGGTCCAGTTCGCGATGACATGGATTCTTGATAAACTTGTGGCCTGCCATCAGGACCAGTTGTCATGGTCATCATTGAACTACTGGTAAAGGAATGGCAATTTGGATTGGAATTGATGTTTTGCTGTAAAATATTAGTCATCAGTATAATAAGTAGCATATAGTCATAAAAATCAGTCCTTAATGAAAATATAAAAACTCACCAAATCTGAGAACATTCTGTTGAGGTTCATTCCCATGGATGGAAAGCCAAACGGCATCATTTGCATCCCTGGCATTTGAAGCTGTCTGTTTTGACTTTGGCCTCCCATTATTGCTGGTGGGCCAGCCATCATCCCAAAGGGATCAGCAAACATGGAATTCATCATGTTGTTCATTTGCTGCATGGACTGCATATGAGCTCTAAAATACACAATGATAAATAAAATTAATCTCTTGAATAACTTTTTATACCTTCTACACCCAAACAAAAATTTTCCTGTTTTTATTTTATAACCCAAAAAATACATATGTTTGATTTCCATGGAAACAATCATGTACATATTTTGTCACATTATAGATTGAAAAAGAAACCTCATATATAGATGACGTATGTTGTACGATTTGGTGTAAGCGCTTAAAAAATTAATATTGCAATAAACATGGCATCAGTAAAAGTAGCCATATGATACTAATTTCATTACAACGGTTAGCTAGAGATTGTAACCAAGAACTGATCCATCAATAATTACACATCAGAACATAACATAACAGCCATGTCTGTGTTGTTGGCTTGTGTGGGTAAGTATTGGTCTATTAAAAGAACACAAATCAAATTGACAATATGCCCAGATTGAATGAACTCACCCGAAAAAGGGATCGTCCTCGAAATCGCCCATCAGCAAGCCAAAGCGCGACATTTTGCACCGCTTTTTTTTTGGTACTTGGTACAGCTTACACCCACTGCACACACGACACTTTTAGACAATTCTCCTTCTTGTCCCTTTTCCGAACTCCGATCCGAATAGGTATAGATGCAACTGTACGTATAGAGCACACGAGAGATTTTCGTGTGGACCAAAACCAAAATTTCTCGGTAATTCAGTTAAAGACACGTATGTGTGTACACACGCTTGCTCTCTTTTTATCACGTTATCTGAGCTGCACTGACGTTTAATACTGAGCTCTCTGTGCGTATAAAGTCTTAAATTGTTAAATAAGCACGTAATGTGTTAACATGCAATGGCGTAGGAAACAGTTTACATGCGCACAGCACATACAATGTTAAACGTAGCACGAATAGCCATCAAGTATCACGATATTCACGATTCACGATGATTCACTGCCCTCAAGCGCTCGGATCTGCCTTACCGAGAAAAGAAATTACTGGAAACTGATGGAATGTGCTCGACCAATAAGTAATAACTCGGTCGGTCAACCAACGTTGAATCACGGAAAGGGGGTCGGGGGGAGGGGGTCGAGAAAATATCGAATCTAATTATCTAAACCAGCCGCGACTCTCACCAGATTTGAGAAACCTCATGATTCGGAGAGATCCGGAATATTTTTTTAATATTTCATTTTGGTGAAGAGTTATTTTGATAAATAATTGTGATGAATTTTCCAGCCCGAAAAATAAAAATGATAACTTTTAAAAAAAAACACCTGTCAATGGAAGGTATTAAATAAAATTTACAGTTTATTCAATTTAATTAAACATAGGCGCATTTATTTATTGCAAAATTTTTATGCTTTTACTTTACACAACGTTTCACGAATTTCCTTTTTATCGACTTAATTCTTAATTTTTCTGTTAGTGCGCATGACCATGAAATGGAACGTTCAAGCGCGCAAAACTTTCGTTTTTCAAAAAAAAGAACTTTGAATTTTTTAGCATTTTGAGGCATATAAAAATAATACTTATTATTAAGATAACTCTTACTGCTATACTTATTCATCAGAAAATTTGAAAGTATCTTCAGTAATTGTTTGAGTATCAACTAGTAATTGTCAAAAAATTTTATTGTTGCAACATCGAATCAAGAAAATGCGTGTGTGAACAAGTAGTGTGTGTGTGTGCTGCAATGACCACGCACATTTTATACAAGATGATAAGAATATATTAGTGTAGGTTGAGTACTTATAGGTTATGTTTTTTGTTGAATAAGCTGTTGAATATCGCAATTCGATTCGATCGCATCAAATCAAGGCAGTGTTTTTTTCAGTCGAGACGTCGAGAGTATATCCTAGAGAGTAGGACGTAGGTATAAAAATAAACGCGTCGTCGTCACTCGTCATCGCGATTCAAAAAAACCTTTGATTTCTTTGGAAGCGGGCATATATTGTAACAACCCAAACGTCATCAGCATCAACCCTACGAGGCAAAACAAAGTAAGAGTGTCGATATATTTATATCGGATGTACCAAGGAGCTGTCAGAGTTTCATATTTATTAATTAATCTTCAATTGCCAGTTACAGGTTACAGTTGCTGTAATAGAGCAAAAAAGAGAAAACACGAAAGAGGACACTTTTGGAAAATTGACAGCTGCCTAGGGAGCAACAAGCATTATATATCTGTAAGCACAACAACGGGTAGGTATAGGATTGCTCAGCTGTTTTGATGTTTTGAAAGAGCCTCTTTCTTCGATCGTTGCCTCGTGCATGCGTGCAACAAGGAGAGGTTGATTTACCGTGCGTGTGGCCGTGTGCTCTCGACTCTCGACTTGATTAAACTACAGCGTCAGAGCTGGATGTCCTGTCTTGGCTCCAAGAGAAGAGTGGCATCACATCACACTGCAGACTTGCTTCAGAGTTAAAAATCACCTATCACGGTACTTTTTGCTTGGCTCAGTTGCGTTTTTGGAGTTGACAGTATCTAAACTAGTTAATTAACGGAACTCCTCCTAGTGCATAGTGAGACTTTTAACTTTCTTTTCTGTTTGACAGTTAAGATTTTCAATTTGACGCAAACATTGAATTAGAGGTAAATTATTTAAAAAATTAATGTTCAAAAATCTAAGATCATTTTCCATTAGCATAAAGACTATATTTTCGTACAAGCATATGTGCAAAAATTTGTAAAACAATTCTATTTCTTAATATTTTCATTATATTTACAGCCCTCTGCACGCATTTTATGGATTGACACATTTATGACACGTTGACGTCGTGTTGTGAGTTGGAAATTTGGAACGGTGGAACCCCATATACTATACAACACTTATTTATCAAAGCAGCGCAGTTTCTATATATAATATCGCAATTGCAACGAACAAAGATACAGCACTTTCAGATCTCGGATCATCGGAGGGAGCCGCACACCTACACAGTGTATATCTAGTAGTAACGTGCACCCTTTATATAAAAAGGAGTTGGTGCGGAAAAAGAGGAAAGCAGTTAAAAGCAGACAGCTAGAGCAGAGGGGCCACAGAGAACGGGAAGAGAAGTGAAGAGAGAGCGTATAGAGGTGCTTAATACATCTATATACTCTGCAGCAAATATAAGCAAAGCGTTAGGAACTTGGTGGCATGTGTATACATCTTGTATACCTATCTTGGTCGTGTTATAGGTAGGCTGTGCTGTGAATATTGTGAGAGAGCTGTAAGTCGCTTATATTATCAGAAGAGAGAGCCCCATATACTTACTTGCTGCAAACCTGTCATTCCCGGAGGAAGAAGTAGTGTCGGACGAGTTTCGACACCTCGTCAGCCGTAACAATGAGTGAACTCAATCCCGAGGAGGTGAGTCGAATTTTTATTTTCTTATTAGGTAAGTACCTTAAAATTGTTCTTTCTAATTTTCTTTTACCTCCATAGTGCATTATATAAAAGCTAAAGATTCGCAGCTGTCGAAACCTTTGCTATTTTTTTTTTCCCGTACTTTTTTTTTCTATGCGTACGATTCTGTTGCTGTGCGTGCGCGTTATGTTGACGCTTTCAACTCCGAAATGCTCCTTTGTCTCTCTTTCTCTCCTTTTCTTCATCCTAAGTGTGCGCGTTCGTGTATACATTTGCTTTTTTTCCCTACGTCTCCTTCGACGCTTGAGAAAGAAAAAAAAAATTTGCAATAGTATGCTCGCACAGTATCTGTTGAAACATATAACATCGTCGTGTAGGGTTTGACTGCAACAGCGTCGCACGAAAGTGTCAACTTTTTTTTTCTCTCTTCCGACTCCAACTGTAATAAACTGATAATTTTTTTATCGATCTACCAATTATTCCGATGGTTAATTCGCAAGGTGACTTATTTTCGCGTAGGTAATGTTAGGAGAGCCAACAGGCTGCTGATGATCAATCCAAGACAAAATTTTGCTTAGACCGTGCGAGTTCATTGCTTTTTCATTGTCCCTCTCTCTCGGATATAAATAGCTGATGTTTTTTTTCAGGATTTCCCACTTTTTCTTTGTTTATCCCTCTTGCTTACCAATTCGAGCTTTTTTCAAGGCTACTCATGCTGCAAGCTCACGCGCTCGAGAGTTGTGGGCTTACACAAAGAGAGAAGAGGAGAATAAAAAGTGCAGCCAGGAAGGAGCTCCAAAATTGGCAGCTTTTTCGCTTTTGTTTGGTTCCCACACACATATATACCTTTGCATTAAGTCTACGCGTAATATATGTATGCATACGTATGTTGTACGTGAACGAGAACAGTTGGCGTTTCAAATAGCCTTGTCATTGTGATGCAGTCAATTTTCTGCCAATCATTAATATTTCATGTACGCGCTTACTTTCTGCTTCTTCTCCGCACTTTTGATACACGATTAGGTCAACATATAACTTAGACCAACGGTGCTAGCTATAAACGTACATGCTTGCGGCGTTACCAGAGACCCGAGATCGGTGTTTAATCGTATTATAGACTGTGAGACTTGGCTTGGCCGAGCTTTTCTGTGGCCCATTTTTTAACAGGTGGCATTCTCTGACTCTCGGCTACTTATGCATGATCTCGCTGTGTGCCAATGCTCCTTCTTTACGTTGCAAGCCAGTTTAAAATATATGTCCTCCTGTACAAAGCCATCTATTTTTTTTTTTTTTTTTTTCGACCGAATGAAATTACCTTAAACAAAGCTTTTGCTCCTGCAGATAAGAAGGCGGCGCTTGGCACGCTTGGCCAGCCTTGACACCACTCGTACCCCTCCTAGTGGTTCACCTTCTGCAACGACATCTCCGGAAAATGGAGTTCCAAGCTCGCCAAGTGCTCTCCAGTTGCAGCCACCCAGCGCGGCTGTTTCGCCATCTGTGGATCCGACTCCTCCACAGCTCCCTGAAAAGGAGACACCCATGGAGGTTGAGGATAGCAGTGAGAAACAGTGCAATTCATCCGGAGTCGATGTAGATTCTGGAATCGAAAACATGGAAGTCGATGACTCAGATCGAAGAGAAATACCCCCGAGATCGAGGGTTCGTTGCTTTAGTTTTTTTTGTTCTGTAACATCGAATTGTTTTGTTGATTATACGTAAAAAATGTTGTTCATCCATAGACAACAAGCTCGAGCTCGTCGGAAGTTACAGTCGAACAAGTTCACGCCATCGTGTCACGAGTGCTTGCGGTCTCGTGGAAAATGTCGACAGAGGGAACGATATATCTCCCCGACACGGCCAAAAATGCAGATTCTTTCAACAGCACGGAAATCGCCGATCTCACCAGTCAAGCGATCATGGAGGTTCTCTTTAAATTCTCCAGCGGCGAAGATCCGCTGAAAGATATTGCTGTAGACGTATCTCTCGACTGTAAAGATAATCCGAGCAATCTCTCCACTCCAATGCAAAGTCCGGTTACAACACTCCCGGTGGATCCGTCAACTTCGAGTCAGCCTGACGTTACACCGAGCGACCAGTCACCCGAACCAAAAAGCATTGTTTACTTGTTAGATTGCTACGCTCGAGTTGCCGCTGAAGAAAAAAATCATCCCAAGGTAGTGCTGAAGGGAAAAAAAGTCGGGCATGCCTACGGTTCCTGTGCCGCTGCAAACCCAATGTACTCACATTACGCGACGCCACAGGAATCGCCAAATATACCTCTATAAAAAACGAAGTCATTTAGATTAGTTTGAAATATTGATATTTAATTTTTTTACAGCGATCGAGTGTGCCACCATTGTCTGACGTGTTTGCAACACTACGTGCGCAATGCGTGCAGCACGTCAGTCTTCTTCTCCAAGGCTACCTGCCCTCGGACCAGGCCAGCCAGCCGTCCTCGTCCTGCAAGTCTGCTCTGCTTCCCTACGTTCTCAAACAAAAATTACCTCGTGGCTTTCTCCACGAGCTGGTCGCTCGCACGCACACCGATTCCGAGGCTTTCTCTGGAATCTTTTCCCCACTGTTGCAGAGCCTTTATTTATCGATGCAGAGCGCCAGTTTTATCGGAAATACTCATAGATGGCCAATCGAGGCGCTCGAGGAGCTTGTAGAAATACGTTGTGGACCTAACGGTAACGTAAAACCGATTTGCAAGTTGATCACGAGTCAGGTGCAATTTATGCCCGAATGCGTGACTCCGGCAACTGGCAGGGAAATCGCCAGAACCTCTTTCTTGGGACCTTTCCTCAACGTTTCCATATTTGCCCAGGATCAGCCAAAGGTCTGAACTCGTTCGAGTTATTTTGTAACCAACTTTTCATTACTTTTTGTGCTGACTTGAATTTTCACTTTTTAGGTGGCTGACAAATTCTTCAGTGGCAACAGCTGCAGTGACAAAATGATGACTGTCACCCTGCAAAAAGAGCTCGAAAGTATCAGGGCTGCTCTACACAAAATATTTCACGCCATTCTCCAGAACAGCGCATGCCGTGAACACACATTGAAATACATTGCTTGTTTGATTCGCAACAACGAGAAGCGGTCACAAATTCTGACTGACGAGGCTCTACTAGCCCCCGACGGCTTCTTCATCAATCTTCTCTCAGTTTTGCAGCTACTCTCCATTAAAATCAATGTCGATAACATAGACTACATGTATCCTTTCCATCCCTCGTCGCTCTTGGATGTAACTAATGAGACAAAATTGAAACTTACTTCCCAAGAGGTTTGTAATGTATATTTTTATACTTTGGTTGAGTAGGTACAATATGTCAAGGTTTAAAATAATTTCATCAGGTTACCGATTGGCTTGAAGAAATCCAAAAAAATGGCCACACATGGAGTAAAGTGAAATTTTCGACGCATTGCTGGTTCTTCACACTACACTGCCACCACATAGGTCTCATACCAACTCTACAAAAGTATCAGGAAAAACTCAAGCTCATGCGCGAAGTGCAAAAAAAGGTGGATGAGCTGCAGGCGACAGAATCCCAGTGGAAGGATTCGGTTCACGCACCACAAAATAAAGAACTAATCAAGCGTTGGAAATACCAGCTCAAACGATTAACCAAATTTAAAGCTTGCGCCGAGGCAGTTCTGCTCGATCCGTTTCTTTTACGTAGATCGCTGCACTTTTACACCTCCGCGACTGAGGTGTTATTGAAATTGCTGACCGGTGTCAACAGCATCGGTGAACTGACATATGACGATAATTTAGTTAATATTCTGAGCAACCGTTCCGAGACGCCGAAAATTTTCACTGCCCTACCAGAGTGGTACATCGATGATATCGCCGACTTCTTAATATTTTTGCTCCAGTAAGTTACACGGGTAGCCATTTATTTCTAATGCCTAAAGTTGACCAAAATTTCAATATTAACAATTTATTTCAGGTTTGGTTCAAATATATTAGACAAAAATCTCGATTCCATTATCATCTCATGGCTATTAGTGTTGATATGTGCTCAAGACTGCATGAAAAACCCCTATTTGGTAGCTAAATTAATCGAAGTTTTATATTTACTTAACGTGAGTATGAATTTTCACTTTTTTCAAAATTTCAACGCTGTTTGGACGAAAAATATAAAATTGTTTTCATGATTTAGGGAAAAGCTGAAAACACAAACAACCAGATAATGGGTCATCCACTTTCGAGTTTAGTGCTGCCCTCGACTCTCATGAAATTCTATACAGACGTCGAGACAACTGGAGCTTCGTCCGAATTTTATGACAAATTCTTCATTCGTTACCACATTTCCATCATCTTGAAAACGATGTGGGGAAACGAGGTGCACAAGGCCGCTATAATACGTGAAAGCTCGAACGGCAAGCAGTTTGTCAAGTTTATCAACATGCTGATGAACGACACGACTTTTTTGCTCGACGAGTCACTCGAAGCGTTAAAACGTATCCACGAGGTCCAGGAAATCATGTCCGACCAGGCAGCCTGGGCTGCGCTACCTCAAGAACAGCAACAGTCGCGTACACGGCAACTGGCAACTGACGAGCGACAAGCCAAATCTTACATGATGTTGGCTCGAGAAACAGTTCAGATGTTCCACTATCTCACAGTCAAAATCACGGAGCCCTTCCTCAGGCCTGAGCTGGCCAACAGACTGAGTGCTATGTTAAACTTCAATTTACAACAACTTTGTGGGCCAAAGTGCAACAATTTGAAAGTCAAGAAGCCACAAAAGTACGCTTGGGAGCCGAGAATTTTGCTTAGCAACATTGTGGATATCTATTTGCACCTTGATTGCCAAAAGTTTGCAGCAGCTCTTGCAAACGACGAGGTAACGTACATTTGGAATGCCAGTTAAGCAATTGATAAGAAAACTAGCAAAACTTGATGGATAACTTTTTTTTACAGAGATCGTTTTCGAAAGAATTATTTGCCGAAGCAGCAAAACGAATGGAGAAATCGGGTATCAAGTCGGCAGCAGAGATTGAGCGATTCGTTGCTCTCGCGGAACATGCATCCCAGATACAAATCGATAACAGGGCGCGCGAAGAGGACTACAACGATGCGCCCGATGAGTTCAAAGATCCGCTTATGGGTACGATTATGGAGGAGCCAGTGAAACTACCATCTGGTATCGTTATGGACAAGGACGTCATCATCCGACATTTGTTAAACAGTGCGACCGATCCATTCAGTAGGCAACCTCTTAGCGAAGATATGCTTGCACCCGGTGAGACTTTATTTTTTCTTGCATTTGTATTTAAGTATTAAAATGCAAGTGACAAATTATTTTTCTCAATATCATATCCGTCAAAAATAACCAAGTCGAATGATTTTTATTTGCAGTTGACGATTTAAAAGCAAAAATTTCAGAATGGAAACAGCAAAAGAATACTTCAACCGGTGTCTAAATCATCACCAAGATGCTGTATTGAAGAAAAACGAACTGAGTGTGTGATGCATAAAAAAAATAATGATGGAGTGACGAAATTTTTTGCTCGTCCAAAAATGAGGTATCATGCAATCACAAACAGTGCATTTTTTTTCATCTTGATAGATGAACAAAACAGAAGAACAAGGCACGCGATCTCTCTTGTTTGTGCTGCAACTAAAATCATGATAAATTTGCCGGTTTTTTTGTAATGTGTGAAAAATAATGGATAAACACATATTGCAAACTTGAGCTAAAAACTGCCAATATTACTCGAATCGCAAATATAAAGAAAAATTTAGATTTATGTAAATATTAAGGCTAGGCTAGATGCGTAATAGATTATAATAAATTTATTTAGTCATAAATGGTTTATTTCGTGAAACATTCGAAAAAAAATTATGGTGAGATAGGTGTTTATTTGATTTTCGAAGATTGAGAACATTTCTCGATCTATTGTACATTATTTTTTTTTATATTCATGTATAAATAATTATAAAAAGTCAAAATATCTTTCATTTAAGGAAAATTACGTATGACAAGCTAACATACCGAAAAATTTATCATTATCAAAGATTCAGTTTTTTATCGATATTTACTTTGAATTTTTGTTGAATTTATTTTATATCAATTTATGACGTGCAAGTGTATTATACACAAAAATTAAATTTTGAAATCAAAGTAAGTAATTGGAAATAATTTTGAACTTATTTGAAAAACTTTAAAAATTATACGAAGTAAAGAGTTATTGTCAAATAAAAATACATTAGCATCAAAAAATTATAAATTCAAATTCATTTCTAGTACTCGTCATATTGTAAATAATGTTTTTTGTCTCATATATACAATACATACAAAGTATCCAGTCATTTTTGATGCATTTACAATTGATCAATGAATTAATTTGAACTATTTCGGTAAATGTCCAACATTCATTAGTAATTTGTTAACAAATTGCTGTGCATAAAGGAATTTGGGGGAACAAAATCATTCATGTCATGTACATAATCAACTCAAAGTAGTGATTGGCAAATAAATAAATTATTTCAAAAATTCTTATCAAGATTTGTTTGAAGGCAGAAAAACCTTTATTTATTTTATCAAATTATTTAACCAAGAAGTAATGCTTAACGCAAAGAAAATTTATATCAGTAAATTGATTTGTCGTTTTACTTATTAGGGATTTCAAGTTGACAAAAGAAACAAAACTTAAATCATTGCTACAATATTATACAAGAATGAGTAAAAAATATATTTGTATAAATACTTTTCATCTTATCACTGAAAACTATGAAAAAATATTTTTCTTGTTCAAAAATTAAGGCAATCTACCTCTGAAACCCCTCCTGTGAAGAATGCTAATGCCTCTAATTCCTCTATGAGGCTGTCCCCTTTTTTGATTCAACGCTCTGCCTCTCCCGTGATCCATTCCACATTCAATAGAATCAGTATCGTCATCGTCCTCGTGAATACTCGCGCTACTAAAATCCAACATCATTGATTCAGAGTAACCAAACGGACGTCGCATAGTGCTACCAATTCTTTTAGCTGTGACAGCATTGCTGCAACAAAAAGTCAATATTTATGTTTCTTCAAAGCTATTATGGAACTTAATGACACTATCAAATGAATGAGATTCCTGGAGTCACAAAAACATTGATGAAAAATTTAAATATAATAAGGAGCTTTAAACACATACCCTCTAAATGTATTGACAATAACACGCTGTACTGGTTTGTCAAGCGTCGGCTCTTTGGGTAGAGGTTCAGGATTGTTCTTGTCTTCTTCCCATTCTTCTTGCTCAATCGTAGATAGTGCTGAACTTTCCATGTCCACGTCTATTCCAGATCCTAACGTGTTTGCATACTGGTGAGCTATAAAGTCAAACATCCCCCAATATTAATGTTCTTTTAAAAATGAAAATATATTTTTGTTGATCACGTTTTATTGTACCAGTAGTTACGAGCTTCATTGGACACGTCTCAACGTGTGCTTCCAAATCTTGTGGAAAAAATCTATGAGTAGCATCATAAGGACACTGTACTTTGTAGCCTACGGGATGGTGCTTGAAAAGTAATGAAAATTGTCAGTAAAAGTTTTAAATGTTGCATAAAATTAGCTCTAAGAGAAAAAATTGATAATTACCCTTTCACATTTGACGATGTGTTTTGCTATTCTAGATTTGGCTATCAAGTGGTTTGAGTCGTAAGGACATATAACAACAGGATCTATATTTAGACTTAAAGAAGTCATAATGATAATTTATTAGTAGCTGAACTGCGGCCGGATACTAGTTTTTGCCACTTGCCAAGTGAGAAACGTGGTTTACTACAACGGTACAAACGCCAAGTGGTCGAATCAAATGCACGGTATTGTGTTTTGTTTTGACACACGATTGCACACGTGCACGCACGAACGAACGAACGGCTCTGATCTCTGATGGACTCTGGAGTCTGGGCGTCATGATGGTTGGGTTTATTTACAATCATCGGGTTGAGTTAGTACGAGCTTGGTACGAGAGAGAGAGAGCGTGTGTTTCTTAGTACAATATACTATGTATACTTTATTTCATCATACGATTTTTTGTTTGACGAAAATGTTAAAATAATGACAGATAAGTATGACATGTTCAAACGTGATTGGTAGAATTGTTTTAAAATGTTAATTCTCATTTAAAATTAACATGTACAGAACAAAATCTTGTGTCAAATAAGTAAATGTTGAAATACTTACATTTTTTAGTCAAACTGGAAAACGGAGAATTTACAATTGAAAAGTTATCCAAAGACAATTATTTATTCCATAAGCATTTTATTGAAAGTTCTGAATGTTTTATCAGTAAAGTTCATTGGTAAATCAAAGTATATAATTATTATAAAATTATAAATTTACAAGAAGTAAATTGTAATTCAGTTGTCATCTTATTTGGTATGTTACCAAAGAACAAATAAGTGTTTTTAATAGACGCCTTTTTACAATTATTGACTTCGTTTTTGTTTAGCATAAAAGGAGTAATGTAAATAAATACAAAGACAAATTTTAGCACATACAGGAGAATTTTTTTTTTAATTTACACAAGAAAGAACATTTGTACAATAAGAGAAAATTGTTTAAGTTCATTACTTAGATTTTAAAATTTACAAACAAATTGAGGATCTTTTTACACTGTTGGATAAAAAACTGGGTCATGTCAATAAAATCATTAGTTTTTTTTCACACAACGATTTTTAGACCTGAATTAAGGTTTGGATCCATGGTGTATACTTTAAAGAAAAGTATCTCAATCAGTTCTTTTTTCTATACAAAAAAAGACACTCTAGACTTCAGTCTTTGGTGTTTGTATGTATAATAAAATTTTTAAACATTTCTATGTAACATAGAAGCATTTGTTGATGATGATTGATTGATGATGATGATGACAGATATTGAAGAATAAAAACTACCCTTCAAAACAACGTTTCATAGCAGCTTTCACCTTAACAGTTGAATCACCGCGAGCACGGGATTTCCGTTGCTGACAAAATAGTTAAACTTTGTTAGAAACAACTTGAAGGTAAGGAAGTTTGTCTATCAGCAAACAAGCAACAATGTACAAAACACCCAAATAAAGGTTCAAGCTGGCTGTCTTTTTTGGAACTTCTTGAATTGTTCTGGGATTCCTAAAACTCATCTCGATTTTAAATGCCTTAGGTAGCGTTACGAGAGGCAGCAGAAACCAATTGGAATATCTGAGCGCAAGTACGACAAGAGTCACGTAAGGGGTAAAAAGTAAAAATGCGTACAAAACGTGCGACGCAGTTTGTCCAATGAGAATCGCAAGTGTCACAATGCCTGCTTTTTTATCGCTATCAAGATTTTTCGTGTTATTACTATGCAGTATGGCTTCAGTGTTGAGAGCAAGAGGTATAGCATAATAAATGGTATTCCACTCGATGTAGCCTGTCTGTGCCATAAAGGCAAACAGTACGGAAATCGGGCCAAAAATTATGAGTATCACAACATCCCCAAGTGCAATGTACTTGAACCCAATTCCCCCGGTGTAGAGAAAAGACGACGACAGTCCTCCAAAGTAAACTAGTGCCAAGTGTTCCATCTTGGCTGGTGAAACTCCAGCCAGCAGCACAAATCCCAGACATCCAGCTGCATAGAGCCACGCACCCAAAGAAACCAGCTCGTCCGTGGAAAGCAGTTGATCCACGAGAATCCTGTCATTGCTTTTCCTGCTGTCGACACCTTTGATGTAATCGAAATACGTGTTGACGACATTGCCAGCGCCGTGAACGCAGGTTATAATGAACAGTGTCAGTACCAGGATGATCCAGCTAATGCCAGCTAGACCGATCAGCTTGTGAGCAAGCGCCGAGCCCAGCATGGCTGGGATGAGGGAGGCGCTCAGTGACCATGGTCTGATTGCAAATAGATATGTAGAAAGTTTCATCAGGGGCGACGAGGACGAAGTCGATGTCGATGTCGAGGAGGAGCATTTCTCCTGTTTCTCAGCTTGTACTCCATTCGGTATCATTGACACTTTGTAATATCTCTGTAGCAACCAAAACAATAAGAAATTTCCATTAAAATAATTTATGTTCTTTACTTTGAAAATTAAAGAATATGAAGAAGAAAATGCTGTAAGTAGACGTGAACGTACTTGACGAAAGGGTGAATAAGTATAGACACACGAGGGAATTACCTACAACGAGGATGAGCTGGAAAAAAATATCAGTCCAAATGCAGAGGCGAAAGGTGTCCTTGGAGGTTAAGTGACGACGATGCAGACCCAGGCTTTCATGTTACATTGTTGTTGTACCAGTCGACGTGTTCACTAGATCAGCGAGTATCTGCACATCACTCTCGAGCAGCAATGATCTTCCTTTCCGGTACTTTCCGCCTCTAATAATGCTTGGATATTTCAGAAGAGACCATGTCTCGGCAGCAGCGCTGCGCTGGCTGCGAGCGCTGCCGACGACTCGGTTGTCATCACCACATGCATGACGACCGATGACACGTATTGAAAAATCGTGAACCACCGCCACCCACCATCCCCATAGATCCATAATTGTTCTTTTGCTTCTCCCAACCCCATTTTTAATACACCATTATCGAGGATCTGACTCGTAAAATTAAAAATTATTTGGGCGAAAAACCATTATGCTGTACTTCCATCTTCCATCCCTGTGTATGCGAAAAAAGGGCGTTAAAAAAACATAATGAGATCATACATTTCGATTTGATCGGTATATTTTTTTTCGTATGCTTATCGCTCAAGATTTATTTTTCAATGTTTCCATAAGGTGAGAGCCTAAAGTACTATATCATAGAAAAGAAGAAAAATGAAGAATCGCTGAAAAATTGGTGCATGCATGCAGAAAATCAACAATCAATTTGTGAAACTCGTTATAAAATCGTTTGTGGTATAGATTGTTCCAATTGAACCCCAATCTTTTTAAGGACGTTCGGTAGAGATAGCGGGGGGGAACCACTTGCGGGGCAAGCGGGAAGTAGCGATGAATGAAGACTTGGCATCGTCGCGCGGGTCTCTATTCGCTCCGAGCCGATGCAGAGGTTGCGCCCCCTCTAGCCAAAATCAGGCAAAATTTCTTGCATGTAAACAAACGGTTTAGAACATATATACATACGTACAGCTGCTTGTGATTGGCACTTGGCAAGCTAGAGAGAGAACGACGATCCTCTCCTGCTGTCTTATTCAGCCAATCACAAGCAGCTATACGCATGTATATATGTTCTAAACCGTTTGTTTACATGCAAGAAATGTTGCCTGATTTTGGCTAGAGGGGGCGCAACCTCTGTATCGGCTCAGAGCGAATATGTACACACATCAGGTGGTGTGCACTCTGCTGCTGCCGTGATTTTTATTCGTTATAACAATGTAATAAAAATGAGTAAATAATTAATATAAGCTTATGTTTTATACAGAAATACATAAATATCTACCATAATATTCAAATATTTACTGAAATGTACGTCCTGGAACATTTTGAATTTCCCGCTTCTTGCGACGTTGCCGTTGCGTTTTTGTCGAACTATTATTTAATTTTTTTATTCATAAAATAATCAAACAATCGTCGTAAAACTCTGTGTACATATAGTTAATAACGTTATCTGTGATATATAAAAAAATTGGAGACATTCATCTCGCCAATTTTTTTTAAACCGAGTTTTTATAAGTTTCCCCATAAGCGACCGTGTTAAAATGACTGAACTTTGAAATTCAATATCTCGGAAACGAAACAGACGAACCTCTTGAAATTTTAACAGCTTCATTGTAACAACAATAAGAACGTTTGGTTAAATTTTCAAAAAGATTCATCCCAGGGTTCTATCTCTACCGAACGTCCTTAAACTTGCTCAGAAATCAGGATTGATAAAAGATCTTGGAAAAACTTATGAATAGAAGTTGCATTTTTTAAAATATTTTCTAGAAGAAATCATTTTTGTTGTTGTTGTTTCTTTATTTGGATTGCCTGGTTCAAATTCAGAAATCTAATCAATAGAAATATATGGGACTTATTACTACTGTATGGGAAAAAGCCTATGGTATAAAAAACCCAAATTTATTGGCACGAATCGAGAAGAACTGGTCATACACAATGCATGTTGCACTAAAATTGTACACAGGTATAGGTACGAACGACGAACGATGTCTGATCTTCAACATTTCGGAGTCTAAGTCTAACCGTTTCGGATACCTTATTTATATACATTTATAAACGATTTATCTGCATATGCACTTTATTGCTTTTTCCGCGCGTACGGGTGTACGACTTATATTTCTTTTCTACGCTGGATAAGTGAAAAAGTGCAAGAGTTATACCTTATCGGTACTAGATTACAGTTTTATTATACGTTTTGCGTATGGTTTCTCGGTGTCTGTCGGTACATACTCAGTAAAATGCGCATTAAAAGTTAAAAAGCATCAGTTTCGACCCCAAAAATATAGTAGTTTATTGTTTCTTTTGTAACAATACACCTACCTACGCACTTTTCCTCTCTCCCACCGATATAGTTTTAGAACGTTTGTATTTGCCGCTAAGCGGGTGTCGTTTGGAGACGCTGGGGTGTGGGGTCACGTCACGACGTCACCTCGCCGTTCCCAATATCCCAATAGTCTGCTCGACCTAACCTTTCGGCCTCCAAATTGTTTTTATGTAACTCATCTCCCTCACGGCTTCTCACGGCATGGCATGAATGACGGGAGTTGACGGGCAGCTGATCCGCGTCGTTCTGAGGCCCTTTCACATGTAATCGAAATTAAATCATCGGCCCCGGTAGTTATCCGAAAAAAAATTATTTATTTTCTTGAAGAGTCTCACAGGTAAAGATAACACGTAAAACTAAAAATAAAAACCAAACTTGTTGGGTATGTTTCTCAATGTAGTGTTGTTTTAGGTATTCATTATCTTGTTATAGTTTCAGGTCACTAAACTCTCTTAGTTAATCAAGTACTCTTCTGCTCAGAAAGTGCCTATCTGTCAAAGAAAAACGATGGGTACGAGTCAGAGCTCGCGCAAATTGACGATCGCGAACGACGAGGACGACGCCAATGTCATCAAGATCTCGGACGCGGTAGCTCAGAGGCTGTCCGAGTCCGCGGCTGCGGCTGCCCAGAGCCAGCAGCCGTCAGCCAAGTCGCCGGTTCAAATGTCAGCTGTCGCTGCTTTGCCTGCCAGAGGACCCCTGCCCATGCACCAAGAGGCAGGTGAGGGTTACTACCCTCACTTCACGATAACTGCCCTTGAAGTCAAACAGCAAAAGGAACAAGAACTCCACGAGCAACAACTTTACTGGAAGCAGCGCCTGCAGAACTTGGAAAAAAGCCATCAAAATATCAACCGCACCTTTGATGAGGAGTACAAGAAAGCTCTGTCTTACTTCGATGATTGCAGAGGTAAGGTTTATCCTTGGATAGTGAATTTGCTCATTACATTGAGATTTTGATGACTACTTTGTCAAGAGTTGAAGTTTTTGTTGAGGTGAAAATTTTAGGGATGAGGTGTGTGTACGTGATTAAGAGTAACATTTTTTTTGGTGTTTTTAGATATCAACATCCAGTTCACAGCGAGGCCATGTGACGAAAATAAAGAAAAAGTTCTCAAATGCTACCAAGAAAATTTAAGGGAAACGTTAAAATGTTCCGATTTGGTGCAACAATTTTCCAACTGCGTAGATCAGCGTCGAGCAAATCTTATGAAATGCAACTAACACTTGCCAATTAGGTTTTTTGGAAAACAATTTTTGTTTTACTCCTGATGAAATAAATAACTTCTAGTTGTTGGTAACTTACAATAATTTATGAGCTGTGGAACGTTTTGAAATAAGAGTGAATGTTTGAGTGCTATTTGAAACTGCTGTAATATACATATAGAAAAGTCTTGATTGTATCATTTCTAACTCCACAAGGATTGGTCAAGAGAAAGCTTATGAACTTCAAGTTCTTAGAGTATTTTTATTAAATAAAATATAAATACAAAAATCAAACGCATTCGAATTTTCAGCATACCTTATAAAACTCTTACTCTTAGGTCATTTACATAATTTCATTTCAATACTACTGTACATTTTTTTTCAAAAATAGACTTTACTGAAGTAGAATTAGATTTAGAGATACACTATTATATTATAGCATTATTTGAAAACTCTACAACATGATTTTACTTATTTAAGAGGTAAAAATTACAATTAGTAATTTGTAAAAGTAATGTAAGTATTGAAATATGATTCTAGTTTTATAAAAGTTTTTCTTTAATGTAGCTCAAACAAGTTAAAGAATATTAACAATAAAATGATCGTATTTTGTGGTGTTTTACTAATTATAAAAGTACACACACCAAATTATTCATAGATTTTTATCTGATACCAAGAATACCCAATACCTTTCTAAATCACCAATTTGAAATCGTTATTAGTTTTTTTAGAATGCATTGTAAGTAGTAATTATTAATTTAAATTACTAATACAAGCATTACTCATTTAACTTTTTAAAAAACTATACAACATTGTAAAACAAATTCTTCTGCTTTGATATCCAGGTACTTAAGCCAGAAGTATACACGGGAAGAGAAAAAAAAATTTAATTGCCCTTTTTATCCTTACCACCAGCAGTCATGAGCTTGGAATACTCCTCGTTTAACCTGTCATACTCTTTAGCCAAGGAATCAGCTTGCGATTTTACTGCTGTCTTGTCTTTCTTCTCTTTCGTCAGTTCATTCTCCAGCTCTGAAATCTTGGCTTCAGAGTCCTTGAGCTTGGTCTTTAGCTCCTTAACAACCTTATCGTGAATCTCATTTGAGTCATTTTGAGCATTTTCCCCAGATTTTTGAAGAAGATTCCTTGCAGTTGTCGTGGCAGACTGAGCTTGCTTCATCAAGGCTTCACTCTCAGCAAGCAGTGTTGCTTGAGCTGAGATCAGAATAACGAGCCGACGAATCACAAGACTCAGAAAGAGAGCAAATCCAGAAATGTAAAAATTCCTCTGGGCTCGGAACAGTCTCATGTTGCCTGTCACAACCCAAAATAGAATACGTTGTTAGGTATTGCAATGACAAAATTAATTTCATCAGTAAGAATTGTGGAATTTTTGAAAGACAAACTGTCAGAATGTGGGTATTTCCATACAGCAAGTAAAAATATTCTATTACCTTGCATTTCAGCATCCAAATGTGCGTGTGCATGATCACTGACTTCGGTATTCGAGTACTTGCGCATCTCTCTGATAGCGTCGAGGAGGAAAAGAACAAGAATAGCGAGCAATACCAAAAAATAAATGGAGGCCTGCTGGCCAAGGCTCTGCAAGAACCTGGACTTGAATAGCCTGTGCCATCTTTGTGGAGATGCAATCGGCAGAACCAGGAGAAGAACCACCGCAATTTCCGCATACAAGAACGTGGCTATCAGTGTCCACTGTAGACTCATTGTTGTTCTTGATTTGTACTTACTTCACCTGGTGAAACGATAAAGATAAATGTGAAGTATTCTATTCAATTTACATTAACGATTTATTTTTGTCTTTTTAAGAATAGAAGATCAACACCACTTCAAGGTATTCCAAAGTTCAAACCTATATCTATCGTTTTTTCACTACTTGAATGTAGTACTTATACACGTTATAAGTAAGGTTATTAATACATACGCAAGTTAATTATACTTACGAGAGTATCACAAATCTGCAAATGAAACCTGCTATTTGAGACTAAGTAGACTGGAGGTACTCTCAACTCACGGGCTGCGTAAAAAATATTTTCTTGCGATGTGTACGAAGATTGTGCGAGAGCTTTGCCCAGACAAGAAGAAATTGAGATAATAAGTACCACTCCGGCCCGGTCTGATAATAACGACAAAATATACCTTACTTACAATAGTATTAAGTAGGTGTATTTTATAAATAAATTTCGACGACAAGAAAGAGGGACGAGGAGAAAAGATACTCTCGTCGATTCGGCGACTCAGGATAGGATGACGATTACTTGTGACGCTTATAGCAGTGAGTATATATATACATATGGAGATAAAAAATTGAGTTTTCGTTTCCAAACGGGACTGATTTTGATTGGTGCATCGCTTCCAAAGACATCTGATCATTGGTGCGCCCCGTTTCTTTTTTCATTTCATATCATGAAGTTTTTACGCTCAAAATTTGTATAAATAATTACCTCTAGTTTTTGTGTAGTTAGCAACTTTTATGTGCAATTCCTATACTCAGACTATTATGTAAGGCTATTCAAAAGGTGTTTGTCATTTCCGAAAATTGAAATAATTATATCGATTACGGAATGACTCATTTTTTTATCAATAAAAATGATATTAGATTTGATAAAATGATAAAATAAAAGCTCTTGTTGAATTCGTCAATTCTTAAATTTTTTTTTTTTAGGATTAACAATGGTTTTACTGTATTTATCAAAATAAATTGTTAAAAAATGAAAATTTATTTAGGTGCCACGATGCGTTGATGCGATCGCAAAAAGCACAAAAAAAAAATTCTCGCGTTTTCACTTATGAAACATCGGACCATTTTAGAGCGGGAAACGAAACAGTAGGTGGTAGCCAAAATAAGAATGAGGAACGACTATGTGGATTGTTGCTTGACAAGCAGTGCTTGTTTTGTGGCGCCAACTTGTTAATTTATCGAATAGGTATATAAATATACAATTGGGTGTATGGAAGATCAACGATAATTGTTAAACAACAAGATGCCGGCCTTCCTCAAGAACATCGAGGTCGAGAACTTCAAGTCCTACAAGGGGAAGCTCTCCATAGGACCGCTGAAAGGATTTACAGCAGTTGTCGGTCCCAATGGCTCCGGTAGGTTATGTTCTAGTGTTTACTTTTTTTTTAAATACATGATATTATTGACGTATCGAAATATTCTTCTTCAAGGTAAATCAAATTTTATGGATGCTATTAGTTTTGTCATGGGAGAAAAGACCAGTAGTTTGCGCGTCAAAAGGTTCAACGAACTCATTCATGGAGCGTCTATTGGACAGCCAGTTTCACGCAGGTTTTTATTGTTCATAACACATACTTTAAGATCCACTTTCATTGAAATCATGCATTTGTTGTCAAAAAGTGTTTTATAATTAAAATAATTTTCATCAACAGTGCATCGGTGACAGCAGTTTTTGAACTGGAAGATGGAAAAACAGAGAAACGTTTTATGCGTTCTGTTCATGGCTCTTCCTCGGAACACAGGATAAATGGAAGCGTAAGTTATCTGACAACGATTTGTCTCCCATTTAACTTTTGACAAAAAAATGTCTTAAAGAATACTCAATCTAATTTATTTATTACAGGTGGTCACAAGTCAAGTTTACTTGAACGAATTGGAACAGCTGGGAATCAACGTCAAAGCTAAAAACTTTTTAGTTTTTCAAGGCGCAGTCGAATCTATAGCTATGAAAAATCCAAAAGAAAGAACAGCTCTGTTCGAGGAGATAAGTAATTCTGGATCTTTGAAAGCTGAGTACGAGCGGCTGAAGGCAGAAATGTTGAAAGCTGAAGAGGAAACACAATTCTCTTATCAGAAAAAGAAAGGCATCGTTGCTGAAAGAAAAGAAGCCAAGCTTGAAAAGGAGGAAGCAGAAAGGTACCAGCGTTTGAGGGAAGAGTACATAGAGAAACAAGTGGAGTTACAGCTGTTTAAATTATTTCACAATGAAAAAGAAATAGAAAAGCTCGAGGTGGCCCTCAAGAAGAAACAACACGAGATCGAAAAGATTGAAAAGAAACGTGAGAAAGCTGAGGAGGTGCTGAAGGAAAAGAAGAAGGAAGCCGGCAAACTCGGCCGGGAGTTGGCAAAAATCGAGCAGGACATTCGCGAGGTTGAGTCTGAGATAACGAAAAAGCGGCCGGCTTTTATCAAGGCCAAGGAGCGTGTGGCTCACATGCAAAAGAAATATGAATCAGCAAAGAAGTCACTGGCCCAAGCAAAGGTAGCCGACGAGGCCCACAAAAAAGATATAAACGAACTCGTAGAACAACTACGCAAAGTTGAAGAAGCCAGAGCTGATTACGAAGCCAGCATTGCAGCTCAATCCCAGTCCCGGGGTCGTGACGTTCATCTAGAGGACGAGCAGGTCAAAGAGTACAACAGACTAAAGGAAGAAGCGGCAAAACAGTCGGCGAGGTATACACAAATGCTAGATTCTATCAATCGTGAGCAAAAGTCGGATCAAGACAGGCTGGACAACGAATGGCGCAAAAAGAATGAAGTGGAGAACAAGATCAAACAAAAAGAAGGAATGTTAGAGGAGTCTACGAAGCGCATCGAAAAACTGGAGGAGCACATTCGTACTTCGGAGGCTGCGCTTGAAGAACAAAAAAAACTTCGTGCAGATCTGCAGAGCGACGTTGGTACTTCCAAGGATAGAATTCAAGAGCTACAACGTGAACTGGAAAACATATCCGAGCAACTCGGTGACGCAAAGGTTGACAAACATGAAGTATCCAGAACGAAGAAAAAGACGGAGATTGTCGAAAATTTCAAGAGGCTCTTTCCTGGAGTGTACGATCGGATGTACAATATGTGCGAGCCGATTCACAAGCGCTACAATGTCGCCATCACAAAAGTTCTCGGCAAGTACATGGAAGCCATCGTCGTTGATACCGAGAAAACCGCCAGGCAGTGCATCCAGTACCTGAAGGAACAGTACTTGGAGCCAGAAACCTTTTTGCCGTTGGATTATATCCAAGCAAAGCCACTGAAAGAGCGTTTGAGAAACATCCAAGAGCCAAAAAACGTGAAGCTACTGTACGACGTTTTGCGCTTTTCGCCAAAGGACATCGATCGCGCAGTACTATTTGCAACAAACAATGCACTAGTCTGCGAAACTCCGGAAGACGCAAACAAGGTCGCCTACGAAATGGACAAGAAAGCTAGATACGACTGCGTCGCTCTGGATGGTACGTTCTACCAGAAGGCAGGTATTATTTCGGGCGGTAGCTTGGATTTGGCAAAAAAAGCCAAGAGGTGGGACGAGAAGCAAATGTCACAGCTGAAAGCCCAGAAGGAAAAGCTGACAGAGGAACTTAGAGAGGCCCTGAAGAAATCACGCAAAGAATCGGAGCTCAACACCATTGAATCTCAGATTCGTGGCTTGGAGACCAGGTTAAAGTACAACAAGAGCGATCTTGTATCCACGAAAAAGCAAATTGCCGAGTATAAGGCCGAATTAGCGAAATTGCACAGTGATCTGGACAAGTTTGGACCCACGATAGCCGCTATCGAGAAGACAATGGCAGATCGAGACCAGGAGATTCAGAATATTAAAGAAAAGATGAATAACGTCGAGGATGACGTGTTCGCCAGCTTCTGCGAGTCCATTGGCATCTCGAACATTCGACAGTACGAGGAACGGGAGCTAAGGTCTCAAGAGGAGCGAGGAAAGAAACGCTTGGAGTTTGACAATCAGTGCAATCGCATTCAAACGCAGTTGGACTTTGAAAAGCAACGCGACACGGAGAGCAACGTCTTGAGGTGGGAGCGCGCAGTTCAGGATGCCGAGGACAAATTGGAGACTGCCAAGCAGGCCGAGAAAAATCAAAAGGCAGAGATCGAGAACGACGAGACTCAAATGGAGAAGTGCAAGTCCTTGAGAAATACTAAGAAGATGGAAATTGATCAAAAAGACGAGGAGATTGGCAAATGCAGACGCGAAGTAGGAGCTATTGCTAAGGAAGTTCAGGCAGCAAACAAGCAGCTCAACTCGATCGAAAACAAAATTGAACAGCGCAAAAGTGAGCGTCACGCGATTTTGATGCACTGCAAGGTACGACATAATTGTTTTTCTATACCAATAGTTGTGCTCTTTTTCAAATATAAGTATTTACATCTATAACTTGCGAAATTTCAGATGGAGGATATTGCCATTCCTATGCTTAACGGAAATATGGAAGATATATCTGGAGACACGAGCACAGTGACAAACGAGTCGCAACAGAGCGACTCGAGTACACAAAAACAGTATGAACGAGAAAGCCGTATTAAAATCGACTATTCTTCGCTGGCAGATCACCTTAAAGATGTCGATGAAGACGATCTGAAAAAAGCTAATGATGAATTGAACAAAAAAATTAATGATTTGCAAATGCAAATCCAGCGTATCCAAGCACCAAACATGAAAGCTATTCAGAAGCTGTACCTTGCTAAGGAAAAGCTACAAGAGACCAACGAAGAATTTGAACAGTTGCGCAAAAAAGCTAAAAAAGCCAAGACGCAGTTTGAAAAAGTCAAAAAGGAGAGATATGATAGATTTACAACTTGTTTTGAGCACGTGTCTAACGAAATTGACCCCATATACAAGGTCAGTGTTGAATCTTCTAATGAATTTTTCTTCCTTTTATTAAGTCTCCTTAACCATTTCATTTCATCATAGAGTTTGGCCAAAAATCAGTCAGCTCAAGCTTTCCTAGGACCAGAAAATCCCGAGGAACCCTACTTGGATGGTATAAATTATAATTGCGTCGCGCCTGGAAAGCGATTCCAGCCCATGTCCAATCTTTCTGGTGGTGAAAAGACGGTGGCTGCTCTTGCTCTATTATTTGCAATTCACAGGTAAATTTTTTATTTGACGTATACTCGAATATTTCTACATGTTGCTCATTTTAAATTATTCCCAGTTATCAACCAGCTCCATTTTTCGTGCTGGATGAAATTGACGCTGCTCTTGATAATACGAATATCGGAAAAGTCGCAAGTTACATCAGAGATAAAACTAATTCCCTCCAAACAATAGTTATATCGTTGAAAGAAGAATTTTATTCCCATGCCGATGCACTTATTGGAATTTGTCCAGATGTGAGTAGAAATAATAAAATTCATTTCAATTGGTCATCCTTGCAAATTTTGATTTGAGCTTTGTTTTTTTTTTTTTTAGGTCGGCGAGTGTTTGGAGAGCAAAGTCATGACTCTAGACCTTACACCATTCCCGATGCACGTCAGTTAATCTGTCTATACTCCTTATTGTATTTATTGTATTTTTCACTTGACTATAAAAATTGTTTTCTACATATCAAACCGAAAATAACTTTCGGCTGTGTAAATTGGACTTGAAAAATGAAGAATACAGAAGATAATTGTGAGACATGAGAAGGACAATTGTGTTGTAAAAGTGTTTCGTAGAAACGAAATTTATTTAAAAATATGCTAACTTATTTTTTGCATAAGAAAAGTGTAAAACCATGAGGCGTTCAGTGATGATTGATAACCTACAATTCATTACTTTAAGGTAAAATTTTTATTATAAGGATTGTAAAACAGTAGGCTAACAATAAAAATACTATTGGAGCGTTTTGATAAGTAAACTTGTTTTTTTTTTTTTTCACGTATCCCTAAAATAATTTTGTTTTCCCTATCATTGGACATCACAACAGAGTAAATTAACCGTTGTTTCCAATCCCGTCATTCCGAACAAAATTCTTACTTAAATTCACCAATAACGCGGTTTCCAAGACACGATTATTAAATTTCAAGTCTAAGATTTTAATAACTAACATTTGTTTTCATTTCCTGAATGAAAACATTTAGTTGACTATAGTTTGTAATAAACAATTGCATAAGTAAGTTAATTTACCTTTTCTCAATCTCGTAGGACATCTATTTTTCCAGCAAAGTTTTCACTACATTTTTTCGACTTCTTTTTTGTTGTTTTCAAATCAAACGGTTTGCCTTTATAGAACGACTATTTTCTGAATTGATTACATTTATTAAACAATCCATCGAAATTTATCCCTTCGGTATCCCGCGCCTGTAATGGAATGTGACGTTCGAAAATTCAAACAGTCATTTCGAACACCTAACGAAATTTTTCCCCGAAAAGAATCGGTTGGAGGTACTGGATAGGTGTCGGCCGGCACTGCCAGTAGTTGCTCCTTTGCTGCACAAACAGGGTGGCCTTCAAAGTAAACGGACGTGCGCTGGACAGAGAAGAGCCAAGATGCCGGTCTTGGAGGAGCTGACATTGGAAAATTTCAAAAGCTACAGGGAGCAAATAACCATCAAGATGATGCAGTTCTCGTCGATCATCGGACTCAACGGTGCAGGTATATTTGGATAATATTTTGATCAACGGGGCATTTTATCCTGGAGTGGATAGTGGTACATTTTGTCCGTCTTGCATTTGTCCTGTGAAAACAGAGCTACATGCATCACATACATTTGTTTTTTTTTTTTTTGCGATTCGTTTGATGCAGCGGTGTTTTTCATTGAAAATAAAAAGTTCGTCCCGATCTGCCGTGCAAAATCGATGCATCGTCAGTGTTTACTTTGGCACAGGAAATTTTCGGGTTCCCCTAATTCTCATTCCTGGAAGTACTTGTATTTTATGTGTAATTTAGCTTTTTTTTATTTCCCACTAATTTCGGTGGGTAATTAAATGGACTCTGTGTAAAGATACACTTAATCGGTGTAGTCCTTGTATATAATTACTAGAAATAATGATTTAAACAACGGTAATGTGTAAACATACACCTACTGTTACATTTATTATTACAGGAAAATCGTGTTTGGTGGACGCGGTCAAGTTTGCGTTTTGCTTTTCGCCGTACGACATAATGCCCATTGATGCTTTCAAAAATGAAGTTTGCCACAAAGATGGCACAGATAATTCAAGGTTTTTTTCACTATCGATACGCAGTTTGACATTAATTGTTAATTCATTATTAATTATTAATAGTTAAATAATTTTTTTTCCCCCCTTTGATTTAGATCTACGGTAAAAGTTAAACTCAATGTTGATGATAAATTAACGACTATTCAGCGCACTGTCGATTACGATGAATATTCAATTAAATATTTCATCAACGACAAAGTACGTATAACTACAGACGTATTCGTGTGATTTATTTATTTATTTTTTAACTACGCGACCAATAATTTCGTAAAACTTATATTTGTAGGAGGTTGATCGAAAGACTTTCAGGGAACTCTTGTTGATGTTTAATATAAATCCCAGAGCCAATAATCTTTTCATTGAGCAAAATATGGTGGACAACTTAATTATCATGGACCCAAAAGAAAGAGCCGTGTATTTCGAACAACTCTGTGGATCGGCGTCTTTCAAAGCCGAATACGTGAGGTACATACGTATACTTATCCACAAAAAATTTTTATCTTTTTTATGCGTCTCGTTATACTTTTAAGAATAATTTCATTTTCAGAGTTTTGAGAAATCTCAAAGAAATTGACACCCGAAAAAAGAATTTGCAGTCGGAGAAAAATTATTTTTCCAAGACCAAGAAAGCCCTCAAGAACATGTCCAAGGAAACGGAGAGACACAATGAGCTCACAGATAATCTTGTAAGTACGATTTAAAAATTGGTCTTTTTTATGCGTTTTAATGTACGTATAGGTATATTCATGAAATGATATTTGTTTTTAGGATAAACTAGAATTTCAGTACTATTATGCACAGCTGTACCTAATCGACAGTAATTTCGAACGACTGCTTCAAGAAAAAAATCAAACGGGTAAAATTATTAGTACAACCGAGAGACTGCAAAAATCGACCCAAGCTGAAATAGAGAAGCTGCAAGGTGCCATTCAAAATAAGCATGAAGATTTGAATATTTATGAAGACAAAGTGCGGAAACGAAAAGTCAAAGTTGAGGAATATTTGACTGACATGCTTCAGCTCAATCAAAAGCTTACTGTTATTAAAGACAAAATTGGACAGTTGGAAGCAAACTTAACAAAAGCCAAAAAGACCGATGCAGCTCATGAAAGAATCGTTAAAGATCTTGAGTGTCAGCTGCAACAGGTGGAAGAAGACAAGCTTTCGTTTACAAAAAGCCAGGCGACAACCTGTTCATTGGAATTGGAAGATCAAAAAGTAAACGCTTTGAAATATATTTTTTCTTTAAAGTTCATCAGTTACTTACTGTTTACATTTGTATTTTTTTCAGTACGTGGAGTATCTACGGTTGAAATCAGAAGCTCAAGTAAAATCTGCCAAAGAGTTCCAAATGCTTGGTTCTATTGAACGTGAGAGAGAATCTATTAAAGACAAAATTGAAGATTGTGAGAGACAGAAGTATATTTTATTTCAAAAAATTGAAAAGCAACAAAAAGAAATTGAAGATTTGAATGGCCAAATTCTCAAAATTAAACAAAATATTCAGAAATCAGAAGTATCTGAAAAATGCAAGCAAGAAAAATGTCAAAATTTGATTGAAAAAAGTGAGGCACTGAAAAACAATATAGATATATTAGAAGATCAGGTTCATGTTTTGAACCAGCAATGGATTGAAAGTAAAGAATCAGCTTACGAAAGCAAAATAGCTAGAAAACGACAGGAAGTATTGAATACGTTGAAAAGTGTTTTTCCAGGAGTTGTAAGTTAGAAAATTTTATTTAAATTATTAAATATGAATTTTGTTTTTGTTATGAAATATTTTTAGGAGGATCGGTTGAAGAACATATGTCGTGTCAGTGAAGATGGCTATCAAATAGCCATAACTAAATTAATGGGTAAAAAGATGAATGCAATTGTAGTTGATACGAAAGAAACTGCCAGTAAGTGTATTGAGTTTTTAAAAAAAAAATATTTCGGCGAAAAGCACTCTGTTATGGAAACCTTTTTGCCAATTGATTACGTCCAAATTAAGCCACTAGAAAAAGCGCTGAGGTAAATATTCGTTCTATAATAACGTGTGTACCTACAAAAATCTTTTATCATGACATTAATTAATTTTTTTCTTAAATAGAATGGTGAAGAGTACACCAAATGCAAAAGTTGCTGTGTTTGCCATGCGTTCTGCATCTAAAGGAGTTCAGAAAGTTTTGCATCACGTGTTAAGAGATGCAATTATTTGCGAAACTGACAACGAGGCATTGGAGCTTTCCAAAAAGTGTCAAATTGATGTAAGTATTTTAACAGTTGAACATTTTGTAACTGTAATAAAAAAAATTCATCGTACGTAAACACATTGTCTCGAAATAATTTTCACAGTGTGTCTCTCTCAGCGGTACGCTATTTCGTAGGAACGGTATAATATCTGGTGGCTTAGCCAGTTTGTTGGAAAAATCGAAAGAGTGGTCAGATAAAGATAGAGAGAAGCTAAAAAACGATAAGGTAAGTGAATACTTTGTACGTGTAATGAGCTTTTTACACCACTGTCATGGTTACATATTGCAAATTGTCATTCAGGAAAAAAAAATTACTCTTTTACGGAAATTGACGGTTGAATTACGCAGTGTACAAGAATCTTTACGGGAAATTATGCTCGAACTTTCCACACTCAATACTACGTTGGAAAAGCATCTTATACCACTACTCAAGGTAAGTTTTTTAAAAAGCAAATTGTTAAATATTTTATTAAAATTAGTTAAACGTGACTTTTCGTTCAAGGAAAAGCAAGAGGATTTAGGAAAGAAAAAAAGAGAATTGCTGATACTCGAAAAAAACTTTGCTGCTTTTGATCATGAGGTAATTCCTCCTGTCACTCTCTCTTACCCTCCTTTTTTCTGTATACTATACGAATTTTCAGCATAAGTATGAGGAGTTACAAAAGGAACTTGAAGCTAAAAATAAAATGTGTGAACAAATTGAGTTTCAAAAGAATCAAATTGAAGATGCTGTGTTCGAAAACTTTTGTGCAAGCTTGCAAATACCTGATATAAGAATCTACGAACAAGGAAATTTCAAGTAAGTTATGCACGATGTGTTTACACTAGTTTTTTTTATCAACATTCAGTTTAACTAATTATTTTTTATTCCATTTTAAGAAAAAGTCAAGATCGTATTGATCGGCAAAAAGAGTACGATAATCTTATAGATCAAATAAAAAATCAAATCAATTTTGAGAATAATCGAGACACTAAAAGTAAAAAACTCTTTTTCCTTACTTAGTCCAAAAAATTAAAAAAAAATTCTTTCCATAATTAATATTTTTACAGCACCGATCAAAAAATTAGAATCGCGTATAGCTCGAGATAGAAAAAATTTTGATGACTTAAATTTAGAGAAAGAAAAATTGAATGCACTGATAGAAAAGAGAAAACGTTCTATTGGCGATGATCAACTTATATTGATCAAAAAAGATATCGATGAGTTGCACGAGAGATTGAAAACCGAGAAAAAAAAGTATAAATTGATGGAAACAGATATAAAGGAATACAAATCACAAGTAATGGCGAATACGGCACGATTACTGACTCTTCGTGCTGAAAAACATGAGTTGCTTAGGGAATGCAAGGTCTTAATTATGTCATTTTACAAACATCTTTTAATCTTACCTTCAATATTATTTATTCTTAACTTTTTAGATAAAAAATTTAAAAATTCCCTTGTACGATGGAACGATTGATAAAATTTTATTAAAATCTGGCGTTGATACAACAGTTAGAGATGGTACTGATAGCAGTACTACTGATGAAACACTGGAAATCTCATTATTAAAAGAAAAAGATGTAGAAATCAATTACGCAATATTACCTGAGTCGGTGAAAAATAATACGAAAAAAATTGTGGAAAATCTTGAAGATGAAATGAGTGATATTCTTAAAGAGTTGAATGAAAAGTTTGAGCACATAAATGTTTGTAAAAGTTTTATAATCAGCTTATTTTTTAATTACTTACTGGAATCAACTTGAAGCTTTTTTTCATTTAGGCCAGAACAGATTTGGAAACAGTCGATCTGAAGTTGAAAAAAATACAAAAAGATTTTAATGATAACATGGAAGAACTAAGTGTAATGAGAAAAAAATTTGATCAAGTGAAGTCAGCTCGAAGCTCTCTATTTAAAGAATTTTTGACTGCCTTACAAGCCAAAGTTGATACGGTTTTCAAAGTAAATATTTTTTTCTTTACAATAATCGTCAAACAAAGTCAAAACGATTTTATTAACGAAACATAATAATTTTAGGAGATATTTGACAATGAATCAGCCCAAGCATACATAATGATGAGAAACCCAGATGAGCCGTACCTACAGGGTATTGATTTTAGTTGTATAATGCCTAACAAGCCAATGATACCAATGGAAAATATATCTGGAGCTGAAAAAGCAATTTGTGCATTGTCACTATTAATTGGAATCCACCAGTAAATATAAATTTCAGCACAAAAAAATNCTTTTTACTGTTTAAAACACTACTTTAATTTCAAATCTAAAACACATACAAAATTTTTATTTCTCAACATATTTTTTTGTATAATGAAATTTGGCGATAGTTTTTGTAGAAATTACGTTTTTCACCATGATTTGTGTGAAACATTATTTTTATAAGCTTTACTGGCAAAAAACGTATCAAATGCTCAACGAACTACCTACTCGAAATTTCCTTCGAAGACCCTATTCACGCACGTTACCATTGGAAAATAATATAAAGAGTTCGAGAAATTACTAAAATTAGGAAAAAATAGGAAAATTCGTGTTTTTTAATTGTATATTGCAAAAATATGGTAACAAACGGGATACTTGCAAAATGTATTGAAAAGAGCGAGCTTGAAAATTGTGGAGAAGATGTTTTGCCTTTTTTTTGTACGATTTTTTTTACGTTAAGTAGTAAACAAAATAAAAATACGTCTATTGTCTTAACGAAAACTGTTATTATTTTACATTTGACGTTAAAAAAAAAAAAAAAATTGCAATGACCTAAATTGCGTGTTTTTGGAATTTTTTTCACTATTTAGGTTACTAACCAATGAAAAAAAAATAATGGAAGAGTTGTTGCTTAAAATTTAAGTTTGGTACTTTTGGGTATGCTGAAAAGTGAAAAATGAAAGGAGAATTCCTTATATATGCTCTCTACAATACATGCATAAATCAACGAAATTAATTAATTGTTTATTTATTTCCGTAGTTTCTAGTGCACTCGCACGTAAGCTTACCTTTTCTCGTATTTTTTTTAAGTAATATACTATCGTCTACAATGCTGTTTTCATATGATTACAGTCTTTTTTTTTCTCTTGCTCTTTACTCTGCTACTGTGTTGCATTGCTCGCACCACACACAGTTAGGGTGAGATTTCTTTCTACGAGAAAAGTACACAACTGTGCTCTTCGGTATCCTATTTTATTTTTAGCTTTACATTTTTGCCGTCTCTTTTTAAAAAAAATTAAAATATTTACCTCAGACGGAGTTTAAAGAATGGCATTATTGTTTCCTAGTTCTCCATGCGTCCAAACTGTCTTGAGTTAATGACTATAATTACAATGGTATATTCGTAATTTTACACTAAGTAGTGTACTAGTTGGGATTGAGAGTTATCATTGCTATTTTTTTTTTTTTATTTTATTTTAATTATAGAAACAACGATGAAAGAGTCGCAAGCCACCGTGACTTTTACCAGCAACCCTTCGTCCTATGATGGATACGGTAAGCCAATTATTATATCAAGTCCATAAATACAAAGTCGGGGGGTCGGGTAAGGTGCCGTGAACTGTTTAATTATAATAGACCCAGTATATTTTTTTTAATGCATTAGGACCTGCTGAACACAACTTTTCATGTTGAGTCACTGTCCAAAAGGTCAATTTTTTGTTAATTGACAAATTTTACTAACAAGTAACAAATATTGTTTTTTTTGTTCGTAAAAAAATATTCTTTTCTGATTTTTTGGGTGCATTTGAAGCAAAAAGTTGTGGATGAAGTACATTCGTAAAATTTATACTTTTCTGGCATAAAATGACAAAATTTTGAAAAATGCGTTCTTTACGGTTTTTGAAATCTTTTGGTGTTTTTTTTAAATCTGGTATTCTCATTTATAACGTAATACTTTTTTTGTTTAAAATGAATGGAAGAATCGGGTGAGAACTTTTGTTTGTCAAAAAAACGAATATTTAAAATTAGCTGACAAAATCCGTCGAGTATCAAAAAATTGACCATTCGGACAGTGACCCACCATTAAAAATCTTGCTCTTATTACATTATAAAAAAAAAAAAAAAATTGGTGAGTCCTTCCTATTCGAACAGATCACGGGACCCTACAAACATGTAGACCTCGTACGATCGGCGAAAAAACTGCGGATGCAAGTGAACACCTCCTGTAAAAGCAGTTCCAGGCCAAACTCACAGCTCGACGGAAACGACGATAAACTATTCCAGCTCGTCAACGCCGAGACACCCGTCCTCGAGTCCAAGGCCCAGCGCAGCGCGAGCAAGCATAAATCACCCCTCGCAGGACAATCTAGGCGCGCCGAGGTACCTCACTGCAAATACTTTTTAAGAACACCTTTCGAGAATAAAAAATTTTTTTTTTTTTTCGTTTACAAAATAAGATAACCAGCAAAGGACCAGACTCGACGTCCCAAACTATCGAGCCTCCCAGGATGTTCGGTCCGTTTAACGACGAGGAGCGAAAGGAAATTTTGACCAAGTTTTACGATCAGGTGAAGAGCAACTTGGAAAGCATTGTCCGGCCCGATGGAAGCAAAGAGTTACCTCCGAGGACGTGTGCCGACCTCTTTGCCGCTTTCCCCGAAAAACCTACGGGTTAGAAAAATTTCTAATTCACGAAAATCTACTTTGAAAAAATGCTATAATCATCAAAATGCAAATACCCACGCAGGAGAGTATTGGATTGATCCGAACGACGGTGATCCTCGAGATGCGATACTAGTACGTTGTGACGCCGAAACGCGCTCGTCTTGTATTTTGGCTAGTCCCTCGCGAACAGTGGAAATCAGTCACGAGGGCAGTGAATCCGAAATTTGGCTCAATGAAATCGACAGCGCGTCAAAGGTATAAATCGATAATTTTACCGATCACCATTGACGGTTTGTGCTTCGAATTTTTTTTCAAATTTTTTTCCATACAGATAAATTACAAGGCGGACAGCAATCAAATTGGTTTTCTGCAATTACTTTCTAAAGAAGCCGAACAAAGTATCACTTACAATTGTAAGAACAGCGTCGCTTATTTCGACATTGAGCGTAAGACTTACAGAAAAGGATTGAAGCTCCTCGCGTGGAACGATGTTGAATTACTGCCAAGGGGAAGTCAGCGATTGCGCTACGAGGCAATTTTAGATGAGTGCAAGGTATTTCATACATTTATTTGTTCATTTCTTTTTTTCTGCGTAGAATTAAAAAAAATTTTTTCAATTTTATCACCCTTAGACACGAGGGGACCACTGGAAAAAGACTACCATCACATACAAGACTGATAAACCGTCGAGACTACCCATAGTTGACGTTGCCATGCGTGATATCGGCAAACCTGAGCAGAGTTTCTGGATAGAGATTGGATCAGTCTGTTTCCGGTGATCTTATGCACAAGATAAACCGCAATTCCAGAGAATATTCTACGGTCTTTCATCTTGTATGTCAGAAGATTTTAACAAAAATTTTAAACATTTTTTTTTTCAATCTAAAAATGAAAGTTACCAATATTTTTTGAGAACTGTTCACAACTATTACAAATGAAAAACACTTAATTTGCTTATTTTATTAAATTTACACTATAAATACTAATAAAATAACTAGGAACAGCCGACGTTGAGAGAAGAAAATATTGTAAAAATTTTTGTATATTCATTTGGTATTGTAAAATCACACACATCATCAATCAAATTGAGCTAATAAATAAACCGAAATTTTTATAAATGGACATCAATTAATTTTTAGATCATGACGTAGGTAGTAATAAAGTGATCTACAATAATTATTTTTAAGCCACCACTAATGAAAGCATTTCTATCGATTTGTATTTTCTGTTGGCAAAAGAGTAGTAGTAAAACGACAGACTATACACCATTTGATTCGATTATTATCTTTGATCCAGTGATTAGAGTGGAGAAACGTTATTTTAACTGATATTATGGAAAAATCGTAAAATAGTTCCTAAATTATTTACATTTCATAAAAATACGTTAGACATANGAAAGAGTCGCAAGCCACCGTGACTTTTACCAGCAACCCTTCGTCCTATGATGGATACGGTAAGCCAATCATTATATCAAGTCCATAAATACAAAGTCGGGGGGTCGGGTAAGGTTCCGTGACCTGTTTAATTAGAATAGACCCAGTATATTTTTTTTAATGCATTAGGACCTGCTGAACACAATTTTTCACAGTGGGTCACTGTCCAAAAGGTCAATTTTTTGTTAATTGACAAATTTTACTAACAAGTAACAAATATTGTTTTTTTTGTTCGTAAAAAAAAATTCTTTTCTGATTTTTTGGGCGCATTTGAAGCAAAAAGTTGTGGATGAAGTATATTCGTAAAATTTATACTTTTCAGGCATAAAATGACAAAGTTTTGAAAAATGCGTTCTTTACGGTTTTTGAAATCTTTTGGTGTTTTTTTTAAATGTGGTATTCTCATTTATAACGTAATACTTTTTTTGTTTAAAATGAATGGAAGAATCGGGTGAGAACTTTTGTTTTTAAAAAAAACGAATATTTAAAATTAGTTGACAAAATCCGTCGAGTATCAAAAAATTGACCATTCGGACAGTGACCCACCATTAAAAATCGTGCTCTTAATACATTAAAAAAAAAAAAAAAAATTGGTGAGTCCATCCTATTCGAACAGATCACGGGACCCTACAAACATGTAGACCTCGTACGATCGGAGAAAAAACTGCGGATGCAAATGAACACCTCCTGTAAAAGCAGTTCCAGGCCAAACTCACAGCTCGACGGAAACGACGATAAACTATTCCAGCTCGTCAACGCCGAGACACCCGTCCTCGAGTCCAAGGCCCAGCGCAGCGCGAGCAAGCATAAATTACCCCTCGCAGGACAATCTAGGCGCCCCTTGCGAAATTGATGGAACAAACCGCCGATCCGGCGAGTACTGGCGTCCCTCGAACTGCACCATTTGTCGATGCCTCCGCGGACAAATCGATTGCGCCCGTATACCCTCCTGTAACGCGAGTGAGAGTTGCTTTTTTTTCTTTAGCGTTTTTGTACCTTTTCTCCACGATATGAATTTCAAAACTTTTAATCGTAGCCACACCAGCGCCCGATAGATACGATGATAGATACAACAGCAGCACGCAGAGGACTGTAAGTGTCAATTACTATTGCGATGAAGAAAATAAGTGTAGCGACAAACTCTATATAATATATAATATGTATTCTGTTAAGGAATCGGTCGAGATGGATTTTGGCGAGAGTCAACCGGTCAAGCCTCTCAACGGCTCCTCCAATGCGGAAGTAACAGCTTTTACTTATACCGATTTAAGTCGTAAAATAAAGTTGTTTTTTTTTTAATTTTGTCATTGAAATTCATCGCTTTCCGTCTACAGGGTTCGAGTCCAGCTCGTACAGTGCCAGATGTGAGTATGGATAAATTTGTAATTGGTCAACTGCAACCACGTAAATCTGATTTAAATCTGAAAAAAGAGTGTAATTTAATCCCAGGTGTCCCAGTACTACCATCAACTGGGAATGGCGCAGGCTAGCTCGGACAAGGGGCCCAGTCCAATGATGTACCCGGAAGCTTACGTCCAAGTCGGACCTCGAGGACCTGCTGGTTATTAACGACGACGTTTTTATTGTCGTTTTGTGATCGCCGTAACTTTTGGTTTGTCATTGCAGGTCCTCCCGGTCCACCTGGTCCAATGGGTTTCACGGGGCCAAGGGGTGAAGCTGGGGAACCAGGACCTCCTGGTGTCGCGGGAGCACTTGGTCCTCGCGGACTGCCGGGTTTACCTGGAAACGATGTAAGTTGTCGATATTCCGTCGTCGTCTCGCATTTGAACACAGTATTGTGAATATTTACAGGGCATTCCCGGTGAAGATGGTGAAACAGGTACGCCTGGTTCTCATGGGCCTCCCGGTCCTCGCGGACCTCCAGGTATGAATATATTTGATGATTATAAAAAGTAATGATATCATGATTGTAATAAAAAAAAGATCGATACTTTTACAAAAACTAGCACTGCATCGAGTTTTTATTTATTTTAATTTTAATATATCTTTGAAGCAAGAAATAAAAACTTTATCTTTAATACATATAGGGAAATAATAGTTTGTCATAGTTGAAAATGAAGAATTGATATATATATATATATATCTTGCAAAACAAATTACTCCAATATGTGTCAAAGATAATAGGTATATACTTTTAATAAATTGCTTAGTCGATTAATTACCACCGTAAAATAAATGTTGTTCTCAAAATACCAAATTTCTCGAATACTAACACAAGCAAAAATTATTTTAAAGAATAAAAACAACTGATAACAAGAATTATAAAGGTCCGTATTTGAGACAAGTTANATCAATAATCTCAGAGTTATTATTTTTTTTACTTTTTCATAATATATGTTTTTCGTCATTCTAGAAACATAGAGAGAAATAGTCAATTTAAGAACTTTTATTGTTAATTATTACCATCCGATACTTGACTTTTGAAATTTGTTTAAAACTAATAATTATTATAACAATTGTTACTAACCGATTATTTTTGTTGTATCATATGATATATCAGATGTAAAAAAATAAAAAATAATCTTATTTTGAAGGCTCTTGTTGTACTAACGATCTCGCGAACAAAAAAAATAATAACTCATAACAAGTATTGAGAAGTTCTAATAACAACTTGAGACAGATAACTGTAAATAATAAGTTTTATTAGCTGTCTCAAATCTAGACTTTATAAACTGTTATTATTATTATTTTTTTTTAACTTACTGTTTAAAATAGTTATTACCATGCAATGAATGGAATAAAATTATTTTTACTTGGGAAGCTTTAAAGAATTAAGATATATGTGAAATGTATTACAATTTTTCCAGTTTGTCATTGGGACAGGTTGTTTTTTCTTTTCTTTAATAATATTAGTTAAAGTCTATATTTTGTAGATCAACGGTTTGTATTAACAAGTAAAAATATTTTTTCGTCATAAACATTTATGATCTTCGCCTTCAGGTTTGCCGGGATTGCCTGGAGCTAAAGGTCACAAGGGTCTACCAGGTACGGATGGACTTAAGGGTGAACAGGGAAATACTGGTGAAAAAGGAGCTCTCGGTCCTCCTGGTGCACAGGGGCCCTTGGGGCCAATTGTACGTAGTGTTATTGCATCAAAAATTTTATTTAACTTAAAAAATACGTCATTTGTTAGGAAAAACAATAGTACCATGCAATGCAAAATTAAATATCATTAACTTTTCAATCCATGATCAAATTTGGCGTTTCACATGAGTTGTTACTCAATTTTGTTGACCAAACAGTATACAATTAAAGCCGATAAAAAAGAAAAAATATTCAACGATTTTACCATTCTTAAATAGTAAATCAACAATAACTTTGGAATCAATGCAACAATATATGCAAGAGTTCAAAGGAGTTTAATTATATAGATCGAAATCAGTAAAAATTTCAGAATAAAAGTACTTCAATGTAATACTAATTAAAAAATTATGTCACAATTTTCAACTGACTCTACAATACATAATAAATAGAGAAATTACAAAAAATTGTATGTACATATTTTAGGGTCCTTTAGGACCTCGTGGTGAGAGAGGAAGAGATGGTGCGCCTGGACAACCAGGCAGTAGAGGCTTTGATGGATCACCTGGAGCAGTTGGACCACCTGTAATAAAGAAAAAATAAATCTTTTCAATTATTATCCTTTAAAACGAGTCATTATAAGTATAGTTTTTTTTTCCAACCCCCTAATTTGTTTAGGGAACCATCGGGAAACCTGGTCCCCCTGGTTTTCCAGGAATCCGAGGGATGAAAGGTGATCAAGGTATGCAGGGCCCCAAGGGTAATCAAGGCTTGCAAGGTCTGAGAGGAGACGTTGGTCGCACTGGAGCCCCTGGAGAAGCTGGACCTCCAGGGGTACCTGGCAAGGAGGGTCCTCGTGGTGAAAAGGGAGCTGCTGGCTTGAATGGTTTGGTAAGTCTGAACATATTACAGCACGAAAAAATACTCGTTTCGAGATACAAATACAGACAGTGGTTCAATTTTACGGTAAATGGTGTAAAAAAACCAGGATTTTTCATTGGGATGATAAGAAACGAAAGTCATCAATCGTCATAAAAAAAAACTCGAAATAAGTATTTTTAACTCGGAAGATATTAAAAAAAAAGTCTAGGATCGTAACCAAAGATCATAAAGCTTGTATGAATCGTGCTACCGTAGCTGGCAAAAAAAATAATTTTGAAAATTTTCAACGCGAAACAACTGTTAGCTTTTATTTCTTTTTATCCCAGACAAAAACTCTGTTGTTTTTTGAAACTATTTGTTGAGCAACAAAACTACTGTCTGTGTTTATTTCCCGGAGTCATACTAATGTGCTTAGACTAGGTTGGACAGCCTGGATTCCCTGGTATTAGAGGACTACCTGGAACACCCGGTAGTCAGGGGCTACCTGGAATAGAGGGTTTACCCGTGAGTAATTTTTCAACAATTATATTACACAAAAAAAAATTAATTGATATTTTTTTTTCTTCATTTTGTCCGAGAGACAGCAGCATCATATATAATGACTATTTAACACTTACTAAAGAGTATATATAATAGGGAGTACCCGGAGAAAAGGGAGCTCGAGGAGACGTAGGGCTAAAGGGCGAGCCAGGTTTTCCGGGTCCACGCGGACAGCCTGGGGCGACGGGAAGTGAGGGTAAAAAAGGAAAAAGAGGTCCAAGCGGTCCCGTGGGTGCAGCTGGGCCTCCCGGGGAACGCGGTGCTGTCGGACTTAGGGGATCGCCCGGTGCGGATGGGGCGATTGGGCCGAAGGGTAAGTTATCGACATGACAATAATTATATAGTCAAAGTACGCGTGCAATCTCAGTTGAAAGGGTTTCGTAATTTTAATTATTATTTGTAGGCCAACCGGGTGAACGGGGGCCTGTAGGGCCGGTTGGACCGAAAGGTGCAGTAGGCGACGTTGGCCGAGCAGGGCCAATAGGTGCACAGGTAAATATTAAACTTTTGTTGCAAAAAAAACTTTTTTAACGAGGTTTATACTGCTGGGTAAAGTTGTGTGCATTACAAATCAATAATCTCAACTTGATAAGATGATTCGTTCGAGATTGTAAATATTTATATCAATCTCATGTTTTGTAATATTTTAAAGGGTTTGCGAGGTTTGCCGGGAAAGCCTGGAAATCCCGGAAAATCAGGGAATAATGGAGATAGAGGAGCTGCGGGGACTGACGGGAAACCTGGAGACCAGGGTATTCAGGGGCCTCCCGGGCTTGCTGGACCAGTTGGTCCTCCCGGCGAAAAAGGATTTCCTGTGAGATGAATCATTAGTTTTTTTTTTTTTTTTTTTTTTTTTTTTTTTTTTTTCAGACACGACTGCTATTTATATATTCATCATAGCAAAAAAAATAATCCTAACTGATACTATAAAAAATTTTACTATTTATTGTAGGGGGAGCCTGGGGAGGATGGAGAGCAGGGACCTCCCGGTCCACCAGGACTCGATGGTCAGCCTGTAAGATTTAAAAAAAATTTATAGTAATCATAAAAAACTTAACAATACTTTCAATGCAGTCTGTGAGTTGTTATATTTTTAAGGTACTAAAATAGCATCTAGTTATTGTACGGTTACCTTCTCAAAATTAGAAGCAAAAAGGTGCCATGCTACAAATACTTGTAAGAACACCTTTAGAGAAAGAAAATTTTTTTTCCGACCTCGGGCGTTTTTGTGGGTTGAGTGTGCCCTGGGTAGAAAAAATAGAATTCGCCGCATAAGTGTCATCGCTCCGCGGCTACCTTACGTGGGCCGCAAAATAGCCCCAGAGACGATNTAATTTTCAATCCATCCCCCTTTTAACACATTTTATTTACAATTATTCTATTTTCAGACTCAAGCCAAGTCCTTGCCTGATATTCGATGAAGTGGATGCAGCTATAGATGGTATCAATCAAACCAACCTGTATTCTTACTTGGAAAGATTGAAACCATTCATTCAAATTATGATAATCAGTCATCAAATGTCGGTAAATCTTTATGCAGACGCAGCAATCAATATACGCTTGGTAATTGGACATTCGTATCAATTAATAATTTTTGATGGTTTGAATAATGTTTGATTCAATATCACGTAATGTTTCGCAGCATAATATAAATACAAGTTCTGCCTTGCACGTGTGTTTACATGAATATTTGAAAAACCTATCTGAGACTACTTCTAAATCCACTATCGATGAAAAAATGTTGAGCGTGCACAAGAGAATAGGCAACTTGTCGGCTTCGACTCCGGTATCTAGACTTCCGGAGATATCAAACAGCACATCGGAAAAAACTGGAGAAACAGACTAGAGAGCGAAAGAATGCAAAAAATCATTATTATTTAAATACCGAATTTTTTTATTACCTACTACTCGAATTTTTTTTTTATCTCCTTCACAACTGATTCCTCAGTTTTACAAACTTTTAATCCCATAGAGTAGTATGATTTACCATTTTTTATTTTTTTTAAATTCAATATTTACATATATTTTAATGAACTTTGATTAACTTTGATTGTTACTCATTTTAACTGTTTATACATGTATATTTTAATGAATTTTGATGAACTTTGATGGTAACGAAAAATACAGAGTAACTGGTTTGTTAATTTTTAAGAATATTTATATAGAACCAACGACTTGTTAATCTTAGGTATTTACTGAATTAAATTGTTATTAACGATCGCAGTTTTGCAAGTAGGATGATTTTCGTATGATTGTATGAGAAAAGAAAAGTGCCTGTGATGAATAAAAAAAAGAATTGATTATTGAAAAGCATAGTTTAAGACTGGCTAGCATTTCACAAACAAATTTATGTGTACAAACATGTTAATAAACGAATTTTAAATATAAAATCAGCCATCTACGCGTTTCTTACCACAATGTAAAACAAGAACATGATGGTCACTCATTGTAATCTTGCTTATCGAACAAAAAGCCACCCGATCGATCGCGTGCGCACATATGATATTGTTATCCACCGCGGCTCGTCGCCTCTCGCCTATCTCCAACGCCGCGATCTCCATGGCGGCCTACTTACTCATATAAAAATCGGCCCCTGCGCCGTTTGTGTCGTTCGCGCGCGCGCGAGCTTGCACAAAAGCGTATGCATCGCAGTCACGCCAAATAACAATTAAAATCGAGCCAACTTTCTTTTTGCGTGCGCGGATGAGCAATTCGCGACGCCAAAGGCTTAACGACGTAGAATTGCATACCCGGTCTGATGTTACTTGTCTTGTCTTGTCTTGTTTTTGATTGTTGATACTGTGCTTATATGTATAATAATAATGCTCGGATCATTAATTTCTTGTTCCTTGCAATAATAGTCGATGCACTTTTGTTTGCGTGAAGGTTTCGCTGAATTTTCGGCGCATGGAAAAAAAGCTCACAAGTCCGGGTAGGAGTAATTTTACGCAGTGAGTCGTAAAAACGGTGTATTTTTAGCCACCAGATCATCGTGTACGAGAACTAGGGCGCGCCCATATCTCTGGGAGCCCTGTATTTCTCTAGACGAGCGCGCATATACATGTACGGGGGAAACAAAAGAAGAGAGCGATCCTTTGAAAAAAAAAAAAAAAAAAAAAAAAAAGTAAATTCAAAAGCTANTTTTAAAACCCTTATAAATTGTGAGTTAAAACCAAGATGGTTGAATTAACCGAACGGTTGAAAAAATTCTCCTGATATTTGCTAGGATAAAAAAAAAAATTATTGTATTGCAGAATCGAATCATAAATAACGTTTTGTAATGATAAATCATTTGTTATCACAATAGTTTTTTAAATTTTGTTTTCAAAAATCATTTAAATTCAATTAAATATGGGATGCTTGAAAAAATTGAGCTACCTGGTGACATTGAGCTGTGCTCTAATGTCCTGACCTAAATATTAATCAACCATAAAAACAGGGTGCGCGTGGCAAACCGGGTCTTCCTGGGCCAGATGGTGTGAAAGGTGAACGAGGCCTCGAAGGTATGCCTGGACCCAAAGGTCATAGAGGCCTCAATGGCCTCCAAGGGGTGCCAGGTCCACCTGGTATTGGTGAAAAAGGAGAACAAGGTCCCGTTGGTTTACCAGGGAAGGATGGCGATGCGGGCTTGCGTGGACCCCCTGGCCGTGACGGCAACCCGGGACCTCCAGGCCACAGTGGAAATCCAGGACCTCGAGGTTGTAAAATTCACGTTTTTATGATTCATATGAAATGTTTGCCGAAATGCGATCCCATACTAACCACAAAGGGTCAATGGAGTTAAACTTTTTTTAAATTAATTCATCTTATTATTAAAATTAAGAAACAAAACTACAATTTACGTAATTTGACGTATTTATTCACGAAACATTACGGTATACAAAACATGTAAAGATGGGGAGTAAAAATTTTAATTTTTCAACTTACCCATCACTTACAAGGTCCACCTGGAGAAGACGGAAGACATGGTCAACCAGGGCCCTCGGGACCTCCCGGACCACCTGGGCCTCCGGGAGAAATTGCGTATGGCTACGACACGGCTTCGCTCGCTGCGTTATTTGGTAAGCACTCACATTGAAATTACTAAATTGTCTTATCTTTTTTAAATTATATGGGGGATTTTTTTTTTTTAATCGACCACAGCTCAAGGACAGAGCAAAGGACCGGATTCGACGTCCCAAACTATCGAGCCTCCCAGGATGTTCGGTCCGTTTAACGACGAGGAGCGAAAGGAAATTTTGACCAAGTTTTACGATCAGGTGAAGAGCAACTTGGAAAGCATTGTCCGGCCCGATGGAAGCAAAGAGTTACCGCCGAGGACGTGTGCCGACCTCTTTGCCGCTTTCCCCGAAAAACCTACGGGTTAGAAAAATTTCTAATTCACGAAAATCTACTTTGAAAAAATGCTATAATCATCAAAATGCAAATACCCACGCAGGAGAGTATTGGATTGATCCGAACGACGGTGATCCTCGAGATGCGATACTAGTACGTTGTGACGCCGAAACGCGCTCGTCTTGTATTTTGGCTAGTCCCTCGCGAACAGTGGAAATCAGTCACGAGGGCAGTGAATCCGAAATTTGGCTCAATGAAATCGACAGCGCGTCAAAGGTATAAATCGATAATTTTACCGATCACCATTGACGGTTTGTGCTTCGAATTTTTTTTTCAAATTTTTTTCCATACAGATAAATTACAAGGCGGACAGCAATCAAATTGGTTTTCTGCAATTACTTTCTAAAGAAGCCGAACAAAGTATCACTTACAATTGTAAGAACAGCGTCGCTTATTTCGACATTGAGCGTAAGACTTACAGAAAAGGATTGAAGCTCCTCGCGTGGAACGATGTTGAATTACTGCCAAGGGGAAGTCAGCGATTGCGCTACGAGGCAATTTTAGATGAGTGCAAGGTATTTCATACATTTATTTGTTCATTTCTTTGTTTCTGCGTAGAATTAAAAAAAATTTTTTCAATTTTATCACCCTTAGACACGAGGGGACCACTGGAAAAAGACTACCATCACATACAAGACTGATAAACCGTCGAGACTACCCATAGTTGACGTTGCCATGCGTGATATCGGCAAACCTGAGCAGAGTTTCTGGATAGAGATTGGATCAGTCTGTTTCCGGTGATCTTATGCACAAGATAAACCGCAATTCCAGAGAATATTCTACGGTCTTTCATCTTGTATGTCAGAAGATTTTAACAAAAATTTTAAACATTTTTTTTTTCAATCTAAAAATGAAAGTTACCAATATTTTTTGAGAACTGTTCACAACTATTACAAATGAAAAACACTTAATTTGCTTATTTTATTAAATTTACACTATAAATACTAATAAAATAACTAGGAACAGCCGACGTTGAGAGAAGAAAATATTGTAAAAATTTTTGTATATTCATTTGGTATTGTAAAATCACACACATCATCAATCAAATTGAGCTAATAAATAAACCGAAATTTTTATAAATGGACATCAATTAATTTTTAGATCATGACGTAGGTAGTAATAAAGTGATCTACAATAATTATTTTTAAGCCACCACTAATGAAAGCATTTCTATCGATTTGTATTTTCTGTTGGCAAAAGAGTAGTAGTAAAACGACAGACTATACACCATTTGATTCGATTATTATCTTTGATCCAGTGATTAGAGTGGAGAAACGTTATTTTAACTGATATTATGGAAAAATCGTAAAATAGTTCCTAAATTATTTACATTTCATAAAAATACGTTAGACATAAATTTATTAGAACTGTGATTCAAGTGCGAGAATTCTAAAATTTTTTTGCAAGTGTTTTATGAATAGTAGCATATCATACATATTAAATTGTTAAACAATAAATAAAATGTGTAACGAAATGTGTGCCAAAGGGGACTTTTTAAAGACATGCCTACACAAACAACAAAATATTTTTCCTACATTTTTAAACCCTTAGCCTTTGTAAAAGTCGTTTTTTCACAACTCTTACCTCCTGCCCCTATAATCTTATAAAGGGTTTCTTATACTTACAAAAAAAAACCTCATCATTTAAATATCAATGTTCAATCTAATAAACACATTTATGAAGTATTAGAAACGTAAAATATGTAAACAATTATATTTAACTATGTTTATTTTAATTTCAAAGTAAACCAATGGCCTTTGAACTATCAGTGGTTCGGGTCCAGGGGACAACACTTGTCCACCCACTTTGCTTGTGGCCGCGCTTTCTTTAAATTTCTTTCTTTTTTTAATTTTATTTCATATCGTATCGCCTGTTTTGTTCCTTCAAATTAACAAGGTCACCCTCCTCTTTTGGAAAAATTGCAAATCGCGACAATTCGTTCTCAGTCCCCTGATCCCTGCACTTTTTCGGTGTAAGGAGGGGAAAAAAAAGTAAGAATCATCGACGAGTAAGAGACTCAGCCGATGCTGAATACCAAGATAACCGAATAAGCGATGAGGGGTGGTTGGCTACTGCTACTGTTCGCGGTGGCGGTGGCAGCTCTCGAGGACGATCAGGGGCCAAAGAGGCCGAAAGTGAAAAGGCAACGCGGGAGGCGTCCGAGTAGTGGCGGCGATGGCAACGGGGAGTACGAGTACGAGGAGTACGAGAATTACGAGTACGAGGAGAACGAGACCGCGAGGGGTAGGTTTGTTCTTGCGAGCACGACTCGCCCCCTCACCTATATATTTTTATTTATTTTAATGGCACGAAATCTTTTTTTTTCGTGTACTTAAAGCATCATCGTTGTCGTATGAAAATCACTGCTCCTCCGAGCAATTTGTCCGTGTACTGTGTATACGTATACACTAGTGCCATCAACTTATAGTAGCAATACGTAATCCATCATCGTTGGCTCGCCTATATGGATATGTCACGACGGTGACATATTAGCATATATTCCGCGAAACAAATATCACGCGGGTAACGCAACGCGCTTTAATTTGCTACTGTCAATCTTCTAGCCAATGCGCGCGAAATTCGGTCATCCGGGTGTTTGTATGCACATAATATATATATATATATATATATATATATATATATATATATATATATATATATATATATATATATATATATATATATATATATATATATATATATATATATATATATATATATATATATATATATATATATATATATATATATATATATATATATATATATATATATATATATATATATATATATATATATATATATATATATATATATATATATATATATATATATATATATATATATATATATATATATATATATATATATATATATATATATATATATATATATATATATATATATATATATATATATATATATATATATATATATATATATATATATATATATATATATATATATATATATATATATATATATATATATATATATATATATATATATATATATATATATATATATATATATATATATATATATATATATATATATATATATATATATATATATATATATATATATATATATATATATATATATATATATATATATATATATATATATATATATATATATATATATATATATATATATATATATATATATATATATATATATATATATATATATATATATATATATATATATATATATATATATATATNAAAAAAAAAAAAAAAAAAAAAAAAAAAAAAAAAAAAAAAAAAAAAGCAAATTTAAACGCTGGCGTGACACTTTCATGATTAGCTTGCAAAACGATACTGCGCTCACGCGTGTGCGTAAATTGTCATAAATCCCACTGGCCTGGTTTTTGGCTACTCGAAGCCGACAAAAGATCGAGATGGGCGCGTAACTCTGATTTATTGTTTTTCCGACGCAGGCCAACCACCGACGAAGCTCTCTTTCTCTGGGAATTCGAGCTTGCGCGCGTATCGGAATCGGCGCTCTTTCTTTTTTGCCTCCAGGATCGTAAATTCATTTGGTGCTTGTTCGAACTCAACACTTGTCACCGGGGGCTGTGTGGTCTGGAATCTAGAGCTTTTTTTTCTTTCTATGCACGTATATTATACATATTGTGCTCTTTACACGAGTGCGACTCACACGTAATAATTTGCACATGGCTATTTGATTCAAGAGGGAGAAAGGTTTTTAAGAAATTTTTTTTTTTTTTTTTTTTTAGAGATTTTTGTTTCTTATAAAATACCCGCAGTTTGATGCCAAAAAGCTTTGTTGTATGCGTCATTTATACGTAATAAAAAACAAATGTAAATATGCACATGTGTGTTTATTGGGTAATACCACTGTTCGTCCAAGATATATGCCGCAAGCTCCAGCAGGGCAACGTCCGAAAATCGTCGGCGCGATGCGCATCGGAGACGATCACGCGCGTGCTTGGATATTATTGCGCCCGATTTCCATGGAATCGCGGCTCAAGCGACGTAGCGCCATCGGGAAAGGAGACACATCCGGCAAAAAGTTGACGAAGAGCAAGAGGATGTGGTATATAGTATGTACACGCTGGATCTCGCGCGCTCCATATATCTCCACGGCGACATCGGCAGCTGTTCATCTCGGAAGAGGCTCCTGCGCGTTGGACGCCGCGAAAAAGAAATAAAGACACTTGCGAAAGAAGAAATTAGGGTCACGCGGAAGAGAGTTATACACTTCATGCAGATGCATATACGTACACGCGCGTACGATGGCTTTTTTAACGTATACATATATATCACGAAGTGCACATGAGTGACGTAATTGATTGCCGATCGGAGCTGTGTGTATATCGATCGGTTTGACGGAGTCGATGACAGTGATCGTTTACCGATTATGGCGCTTTATTTCATGAGTCTTACGCGCGATGCATTTTGCTTGCGGGCCGATGAGAGAGGCAGCCGATTTTTACGAGCTCTTGAAGCGAACTGAGCAAGTTATTTTAGTAAATATATAGGTATTATGAGTTTTTTTTTTTCCACCAAGTTGTTAATTTTACTTACTCGTGTGAATGTAGTACTTGACTGAATCATTTTTTTACTCCCTTCCCCCACGATTTTGTACCAATATTTAAGCTTTTCTCCCTCTGCAAACGCTCACCCGATCAAAGAAAAACTGTACGCGTCGTAATATGTGCCTTCCCGGACCAACCGATTATCTCTATTTTTTTTTTCAAAATTGAGTTGAGACCGAAAAGCATATCCTTGTTTGGTGTACTTAACGTCCAAACAAATTTTTCAAATAATTCGAGTTAGCAATTTTCCGTAATCGGCACTAGACCTAATCGGTTAGCTGCCATTTTCCCGGCCCAATCGTAAGAATAACGCATAACATATATACCCTCGTGGTTGAGTTTGAAAAATCGAAAAAGTTCTATGTTCTCGAGCTAACTGAATAACCATACAAAATCGACTCGTAGCAAGGAAGACGATTGCATTTTTTGATCACCCACGTAAAATTATAAAGTCTTGTCTTAGTACCTAACTTTAGGCACAGCAACTTTACGCGCTGTCAAAAACTAGCTTTTCAATCTTTAAAGCCGTTTTTCTCAAAAATCACAAAAATGAAGGTGATCGGCTCGTCCGGGAAGCCACAGATATATACGAGAGAGATCGGGTCCAAAGACGGTGGTCCGTTATTAGTTTTTACATCCGGTGCCAAGCGGAAGAAGAAGACGGAGATGACGAGGAAAGCGCCGAAAAAGGAAGAAGAAGAGATCGTTGGGCTTTTCTAGGCGACCTCCCCCCGCCACTTCTCGCGAGGACCGCATGACTTGTTCTTCATTCTCGTGGCGAAAAACCGCGGAATAAACGATCGGCCACTCGCGAGTCTAGCGTACCATCGCCCCCTCGCAGTCTGTCGCGAAGTGCCTTTGAACTATCAGTGGTTCGGGTCCAGGGGACAACACTTGTCCACCCACTTTGCTTGTGGCCGCGCTTTCTTTAAATTTCTTTCTTTTTTTAATTTTATTTCATATCGTATCGCCTGTTTTGTTCCTTCAAATTAACAAGGTCACCCTCCTCTTTTGGAAAAATTGCAAATCGCGACAATTCGTTCTCAGTCCCCTGATCCCTGCACTTTTTCGGTGTAAGGAGGGGAAAAAAAAGTAAGAATCATCGACGAGTAAGAGACTCAGCCGATGCTGAATACCAAGATAACCGAATAAGCGATGAGGGGTGGTTGGCTAC